AGCAATTTTTCATTATAATGCATAAAAAAACAATAAATACATAAAAAGTCCTGCAGGAGGATCGGTTACGATTTTGAATCTTTGAAATTTTGTTCATTTAGTGTCCAGAGATTCAAAATATATAAGAGTTTTTTTCGGCATCGGGGACCAACTTTTTCTTCGTTAAAGATAGGTGTGTAAAAATGAGTAGAGCCCAAAAATTTGGATGGTTGTTTTTGTGAAAACCAAAAATATCCGATTGAGAGAAAGAACTACAGGATTATGTTATGATTTTTACTTCTGTTGTAGTTAAAAGGGTTGTTTTGGAAAATGGGTGAAGCCCAAAAATCGGGATGGATGTTTTTGAGAAGACTAAAAATATTTGATCCAATTGAAAAGAAGAACTACAGGATTATGTTATGTTTTTTACTTTTGTTTTAGTTAAAAGGATAGTTTTTGAAAAATGGGCGGAGTCCAAATATTACGATGGTTGTTTTTGAGGTGCTCACAAAAATAATTTAGATAACAGACTGCACTACATTTTTGGACTATGTAAAAACTAAAAATTTTAAAAATATCAAATACGCTATATTTTTGGGCTCCACTAAAAAAATATGCCCAATTTTTAAAACTCACCCATTCAACAAAAACAACTCCTTTTAAAATCAGTGAAGGTGTAAACTTGCCAATCAATGAACAGCGGAGAGTAGGGAGTTGTGCTCCAGGTTTTGTTTTTCGATCAAAACTATTACAGTAAAACCCCGTTTATCCGAGCTCGCTTTATCTGAGGTCTCGATTATCCGAGGTGGTGTCCCAGTAGGAAATTCTATATTATCTGAGTCTAGTCTACTTTATCCGAGTTATTTTTAATTTTAGTTTTTTATAAATATGAGTTTATTTTTAATAAATTTAAATTGTTTAAATTATTATAGAATATATACAATATTATTTTCCCGTATGTAATAAATAATAATTTTTTAAACAATAATAATGTTAAATTGTAATAACAATTCGGATTATCCGAATTTTCGCCTTATACGAGATAGGTCCGGTCCACATTAGCTCGGATAACCGGAGTCCTACTGTATTTAAATTTTTTTTTATTATTCTATTATATACAACAACAACAGTTAACAAATTTCCAAAAGCGACACCGACCCCGTGACCTCGACACCGTCCTTGGAAAATCTATTTTCACTTATTTTCAAATAACTCAAAATACTTTGCCATATGCTTTTAGAAAATCTTACATACTTTTTTTTATAAGTCTAAAAAATTTAGGGACTTAGAAAAAAATCGTTGATTTTTTTAGTTACTCTCTTTGATTTATTAATTTTTTATTATTATTTCTTTAACGTCGTTCTTTTATGTTCGAATAAAAACAAAAATCTAACTATATTTTTCATTTATTTTTAATACCTAATTTATCATTTACAAGTATGTACAGTTATAATATGTTTTAACTTATTTTTAACCGTTAAAATGTGTAGAGGTTCCTCCGCCAGTAAGAAACCTAACGCAGAAGTTGGCGTGGTTCTCATTGCGCCAGTAATCCCTCTTAACGCCATTGCTTGCAGTTGTTCAAGTTTCAATTTTACCGTTTTCCACTGGCTTCTAATCCACCAAACAATTGCTGCATGCAGAAACCTTGGCAACAGGACCATACGATAGAGCCACTGAACCATATCCGGTTTTAGACCCCAAGATGATCCAATAGCCCTTCTGCAAACCCAAAAAGCAGTGCAAAACCTACTATATTCATACTCTAAGTGCTTTTTCCAGATCAGCTTTTTATCCAGAATCACTCCTAGATATTTGACCGAGTCGGAAAAAGGCACTTCTCTCTCATAAAATACAGGTTTTCTCACAGTTGTGGTCCACTGTTGAAAATTTAAGAAAAAGACACATCTTTTAGAATATTCTTTATTTAAATTATGAAATGTGAAAAAGTAAGATAACTTACATAAAATAAAGAAATATTTAAGATAATAAAAGATTAATTTTAGGTAATTTAGATAAAATAAAATTATTTTAAAAATAATTGAATTAAGCTAAAAAATTAATTGCATTTACAGTGAATACAGATGTAAAAAGTCTCATTTCACTAAAGAAATTTAAATATTTAAATTGCTTAAAACATTCTAATTATTCATAAATAATGCAAAATAAAAAAGAGAGTGCGTATTAGCATTAAAAACTGTTAAATAATATGATGTGAGGCACAACTCCCTACTAACGCTGGAGTACCTCGAAAATTTATTAATAACAGCTAATTTTTATGCATTAAACATTGTGATCACTTTGAAAAAATTAGTGTGAATGACCTAAACATAAAGAGACAACAAAACTTTTAGAAACAAATTTTAACTCACTATCTGGAAAAACACGAAAAATGTTTCCAAAAATAACGAGTACAACTTAAAAAGTTAGTTTTTAACGAGAAAAGAATATGACAATAATTGAAATTAGTCATATTAATTTCCATATTAAAAATATTTAGCACGACTCCCCTCGAGGCACAACTCCCCACTCACCCCTATATTAATAATCTTCTCTTCCAAATTGATCAAAAACATTTACGTTTGACATAATTCTGTAAATCTTTCTTTTAATTGTGTCAACAAATTTTTTGGGCTCCTTAAAAACAGCAATCCCGAATTTTGTGATCCACCTAATCTTCAAAAAATACCCTTTTAAATAAAACAGAAGTAAAAAAACTAATATAATCCGGTAGTTCTTCCTCTAAATCGGGTCAAATATTTTTGGGCTCCCTAAAAACAACCATCCCAATTTTTGGGCTCCAATCATTTTCAAAAACTACTCTTTTAACTAAAACAGAATATTGGCACAAGTTAGAAGAAGAAAAAATAATTTTGCAAATAGATCAAAGTTTACTTTTGTTTTAAAGTTTAGGGGTGATTTTTAGATTTAGGGGTTAAGCCTAAAAATGAGAAGTGGTAATTTTGGAAAGCCTGAAAGTATTAAGACAGGTTATAAGAAAAAAAATTCTGCAAATAGATCGAAGTTTACTCTTTTGTTAAATTTTAGAGGTAATTTTTATATTTAGGGATGAAGCCCAAAAATGGAAAGATGTGATTTTGAAGAGCCCAAAATTATTAGGACAGGTTAGAAGAAAAAAACAAAGAAATTATGCAAATACTTCAAGGTTTTCCCTTATATTTAAGTTTAGGCGTGAAGCCCAAAATGAGAAGTGGTAGTTAAGGTTAGGAGTTTACTCTTGTTCACTAAGTAATGAGTTTCGAACGAATAGGTTTAATTTTTGTAAAACTCGTTGGTCATATAGGTTTCGCTATTTAAAATTTTTGAAAACGGACATCGGATTCGTAATCAGCGACGCTAAAAACCCCCGGAGTAACGTGTTTCAAGCGTATACGTTCAATTTTTTTAAACTTGTCCACCATATTGGATACGCCATTTTGAATTTTTGAAAACGGACTTTGGATTCGTAATCAGCGACCCTACAAACCCCCGAGTAATGAGTTTCAAGCGAATCCGATGAATTTATTAATTCGAAAAATAGGAAAATGTAAGTTGCTGATATTAAAAAGGGTTGTTTTTGTTGAAGAGGTGATTTTTAAAAATCAGGAATATTTTTTTGTGGAGCCCTAAAAAGCCCAAAAATCTAGTGTAGTCTGTTTTCTAAATTGTAATTGTGGAGGTACTGGTTTGATGGACCTACGTTGCTACTAGTCGGAAACTCATTTTAAAAAAATAATAAGGTCAAGTGTGAACAATTGTCAATGTGAACATTTTTTTAAAAAAATGAAAATGTTTTAATTAGATTAAGGAATATTTTGATAGCCCTTAATGAGACCTAAATTTTCCTTGTAGTTAGAGGTTAGTAGGAGTAGTGATAAAAAAGTTATGCGGGGTTCCAGCTTCAATGTGAAGCTGGCAGGAACCTTAATTTAAGAAATAAATTAGAACCTAAAATTTAAAGTGTGGAAGCCCAGTTAGCCTTAAATGAGCCCTAAAAGTTAGTGAATTGCTAATACTAATATGTATCATGCCCACATAGCACGACTTCTTGCTGGGAGGTTACTGTAACGATATCTGTAGGGTTTGTAAGGTTACCGTGTAAGCCTGCAGTAAACTTGAGGTCATCTTAAAACTTCCGCCTTACAGTAAGCTTACACAGTAAAGCTAAGGTAAGCTTACACAGTAAGGTCGTGGTAAGTTTACATGGTAAAGTTGTGGTAAGCTTACACGGTAAGGTAGTTGTAAGCTTCCTTTAAGGTTACTGTAAGGTTGATGTGAGGTTACTGTAAACATAGAATGTTGTTAATAAATAAAATTTATTAATATTTATGCGCAGTAGTTTTCTATGGCACATACGGCTGCGCAGTAACTTTTATTTGACAAACCCTATTGGGGTTCATAAAGTACTTTACCAAATATATAATTTTTTATACAAAAAAATTTATAATATAATATATATTATAATATAATTATTTTTAATATATTTTCATATTACTTTATATTAACAGTAACCTTACAGCAACCTTACAGTAACCTTACGGGAAGCTTACAACAACCTTACCGTGTAAGCTTACCACAACCTTACCATGTAAACTTACCACGACCTTACTGTGTAAGCTTACCTTAGCTTTACTGTGTAAGCTTACTGTAAGGCGGAAGTTTTAAGATGACCTCAAGTATACTGCAGGCTTACACGGTAACCTTACAAACCCTACAGATATCGTTACAGTAACCTCCAAGCCAGAAATCGTGCTATGTGGGTGGTATGTTTCGGCCTACTTCACAGACGTGAAAAATTGCTCTTTTTGAATTAGTTTGAGATCTCCATAAAATTCTTAAAATGTATACATATAATTTTTTAACGGTTACTTCATCAAAAAGTACAAGATTTTTTAAATTTATATTATTATTTATAACTTCCCTTCTAAATAGGTCTAATTTAAAAAATTATATTTTATCCGACCGCTTAACCGATCCTTGCATTAAAAAGCTCAATTAAACAAAAAGTAAAATTATTTCAGGTTTTCTATGGAAAAATTAAAACTTTACAACAGTGTAAAAATACAACAGCAACTGTAAAAACATTGAAAAATAAAAACAACAATAACCGAATCGGCTCATGATGAACGACACATCAGTTTTCGTACAACATTCATCGAATTTTCAGTTCCTATCTATTTGTCACTACATTACCACTCTCGGAGTTATCTTTTATAACAAAGGCCTAATTACGTTGAAGCAGCGAAATCAAACTGTCCCTGTACTCAATACTTATTTTCAATACCTTCATAATTCCAACAATGTATCCGAGAAAAAACTCCAACTTCTAAAAAATGTACTAATAGGAACTGATCTCTATGGTGGCGGCGAAAATGAAACACTCGATTTGAAATATGTAAATGAAACATACCAGTACATCTTAAACACTGCTCTCTTTTCTCACTATGGACATATTACCGGATATTTAGCAGGTATAATCAACAAGGCAGATAATACATCTTATTCCAAACTTATGAAAACCATAAAGCAGGAACTCTTTAACAATTACACCAGTATAGATTACTGTTTAAAAACAAACAAAAGCAAAAAACTCACTTTTTTGTCTGCTAAAAAAGTGTTTTTTGAATATATACTGCCAATATTTCCCGAGCCAGAAAATAAAGATATGAACATAATGGAAGTGGATTATTTATACGCAATGGCTGGTTTAAAAATTGTCAAATCCATACTTGGAGAAACTCTAAACGCTTCGTTTGGTGATTTAATTTCAATTACACGAGAGTTTGATTTACAAGAGGCTTACGGTAACGAAACTTATGAAATAATGTTAGCAGCTTTTTCAACACCGGCACTATTTTTTTACGCCTCTAAGGAAAAAGAAACATTCAGAGAGAAATATCAAACTTTGTTTAATGCAGAATTTTGGAATGAAGTTTATGAAAATTTATTTTCAAATATTAATTTAGAAATGAATAAAATTGAAAATCATTATTTTGAAAACAACCTTTATTACAAACTCGAAAAGGAAATAAAAGAATTAAAAAATCGAAGATTATTGGCAACAACTATACTAGAGAAACATTGTAACTATTCTGGTTTTAAAGAACATGAAAATGAATATGTGACAAACTATATGTCATATTATCATTTCTTTATAAAAATAAGTGTTCCTTCTGGTTGTTCCGTAAAAAATCTACCCGAATTGAAAGTTGTTTATGAGAAACAGTTTGAAAATGTAAGAAAGACAAAATATGAAATTGAAAAGATTGCAATAAGAAAAGTTTTAAATGACAGTAAAGTAATAGAAAAATTAGACTCAAAATCTATTGTTAGTGATGCAAAAGCGAAAGATTATCCAATGTACATGGCGAACATGCCACCTATGGCAAGTAAAATAAACCCCAAAGTATACCTACTGTTTGCAATTAAAGAAGAAGGAAAAACAGATTTTTATGCCATTATAGATAACGATAATGTTTTGTCATTACTCGTAAGAAGTGATAACAAACAAGAGTTTGGTAATGTAATTGCTAATGATCCATATACAGAAATGGAAATAAATATAATTGCCAATGATTTGAAATTCGCTCATGAAGATAGCGAAGCATTTATTGAAAGGATTGCCGAAATAAAGACAAGACAATTTGTAAATAAGCTAATGGTCGACTATAAAAATGAAACTACAAAAGAGAAGGTTTTTAATTTTCTAAAAATACTTGTACCATTTTACAATTGTATTGAAAGCGTAAAAGCGGATAGCAAAACTGGAGCCGCAATAAGCTGTCCTTCAGATGTTCTCACCTTACTTCCTGTAGAAAGTCTTGCCACAAAATACGCAACAAAAATGAGCGACAACTTTGTAATTGGATTAAGCGAAAAATATTTAATTAGAAGTACTTTTGCAAGTACAGCAAGTGCCAGTAGATTAACTTCATTATATCAAGTTTCAAAAGTGTTGGCGAGATCCGTTTCGCAGGAAATTTTTACCAAGCACCTGTTAAAAGATTTATCTATTACCTTCCTACGAGTTATAGATCCTGGAATTGAATCAATCAACAACTTAGGCAAGTTTGGCTACCAAAAATTGCACAAGATATATAACACTATGATTAAAAAAATTCCAAAAAATACAAATCTAAAATTGTTATTAACAACTGTGTTAAAAAAGCTTAATACGAATATGAAACTGTCAACATTTAATGGTCTGATACCAAAGGTTCTGAGAGACGAGAATAATTATAAACTCGTTCAATACTATTATCCGAACGGTGAAAATTTCTTTGGACCCACATGCATATCATCATTTGGAAATACTGCAGAACTAAGAACCATTGAAGGCAATCCGTTTCAAGTTCCCGTGTTGCCAACAAAAGATGACATAAACAAAATTTTCTATCGTGAATATATTCCAGCAACTGCTGAAATTTCTAATGTGAAACTGGAAATGGGAGAAAATGATCTACTCCGAAGTGACTTACCTTATCTTAATGCAGATACGAAAATAATACCTACTTATAAAGTTATTCCCGAAACTTCAAAGGGATCTGGAGACCTTTATTCTAAGGAAAGTTTGACAAATATTGATGTGTCTGGAATGGAAAGACATGAGATTATTCGAAAACTTATTCCTTATCTTAATTTAGATGAAGACAGGAAAATAATAAAAGATTATATAGTTTATCATAATACGAATGAATGGAATAAGACGCCAATGAATCCAGATACGTCAGAAGGAAACGTGCCAAGGGAATTACAAAGTGATAACATTCCGTCAACTTCAAGGCTATCTGAAGGATTGGATGAAAGTAACTTCAAATCTACCTTATTGTATGGAGAAGATAATTATCAGAAAATGTTAAAATCTTTAAAAGACTTAAAATCTAAAAATTGGGCTGATTTATACAAAAATAAAAAAAGATTAAAAACGTTACAAATGGATATCGAGAGAATACGTTGGGATCAAGACAGGGTGTTTCATAAAATGCCAAAAGAACTGTGGTTTAAACATACATTAAACAGACCCTATGTTGTTAAGTATTTCGAGAAAATGAAAGGACATTTTTTTTATTTCAATGATATTACCCTATTGACAGATATTCGTCCAAGTGAAATTAATCTTGTTAATAAGAAATCATACTCCTTAACAACAGAAATTCGTTATCACATGACAATTGATTCTCAATATGGACTTGTTGATTTGGCTGAATTTGATAAGAGTTGGAAAAACCAATTTGTTGTTTTTCCAGAACTCGAATTTTACGTAGTAAATGCTGAATTCAAAAATGGAAAGGATTTCTTACTTTTAGAACTAAAACAAAGGCCAATATTGAAATCAAATTGGGAAATACAAAGACTGCAGAATAGACTTTCACTGGAATATAAAAAAGTAATTACATACCCAAGAAGTGTAGATATCGAGAATGCGGCTAATCTTATCTCATTAAACATTCCTCTGTTTAGAGTAACTGAAAGGGAAAAATTCTTAAAAACTTACATTTTAAGAATTGATCCAATTGAAACTCGTGTTCCTACTTATAAAATGTTGGCAGATGATATAAATGCAGGTGTAATACCTTCTGAAAGATTTAACGAATGGAAAATAACAAATCACATTTTTATTGATGATGTTCTATTTAAAGAATCTGCATATCAGGTTGAAAATTTGGAAATTGCAAAACAAACTATAAATTATATTTTTGATGAGACTCATTTACAGAATGTTGAAACTGTGTATGAAATGTATGAGTCACTTTCATTTCGGCAAAGTATGCGATTTGAGGATTATTATGTACTGTATTCACATTTGGCAAAAACTTTACCAAACAATTTACATGCACAAAGATGTCTTTCAGCAGCACTAAACAGATTGGCCCTTAGACAGTGTGATAATAAATTTATTAAAATTCCAAACATACTTTATGATGCTTGGCCAGTAAATAGCAAAATTTGGCAAGAAATGTTATCAATTAAAAATTTTCGTAAGCAATTTACAACAAAAAATTTTCTTGCTTATTCTAATGCTGAAGATGCTATAAAAAATGTTCGCTTGACTACTGAATTAAACCTATTCCTATTGATTAAATATGAAATTAAAAATCCATCTGGAATAGTGTACATTGATCCTAATTATTTCGAAGTTCCAAAGGAAGTGTATTATATTCCTGACACAATCCAATTGCGGAATTTCGGGAAAGAAATTATACCCGTTAATGGATTTGATTTTCCCACATTGGTAATGCAAGATGTTGAAATTACAAAAGAAGGACGAATGGTTAATTCGGTAATACATTTAAATGCATTATTTTCAACCAATGATAAATTTTATATTAATCTAAATCCAGAAAATAGGTTCCAAGTTGATAATTGATAATATTCCGTCAACTTCAAAACAATCTGGACAACTTACTTCGCAAGGAATTTCTCAGTAAAAAAAATTAGGAGTAAGCGAAAAGAATTGGTGGTAATTTAAGCTGTATTCGGTTTGGCGAAAAAACTGAATTGGAACATTACGGTGAATTATTTTTTTCTTACCATGAATTCTTTTCTTTTGAACATTTGAATTGACGTTTGTTTATTCGAGTTTACATTATAAATGAAAAGAATAAATGTTTCGAAGTCTAAAAAATCCGATTTGGAATAAGAAGTATATAATTTTTTAAAAAGAAATAAAAGTACCTTTGTTAAGGGTTTGGAGAATTTAAAAGAAAAAGTGTTTTATTTTAATGATCTTACTTTTTTGACAGATATTGCACCCAAAAAATTGTCAAATTTTGCCTTAGAGAACGAAGTACGTTTTCACTTAACGATGAATTCTCAATTTCGATTTATTGATCTTTCTGAATTTCAGCATACTTTGAAAAACCGATAAATTTTATTTCCGGAAATTGAGTTTACTGTGGTGAATACTTATTACATTAAAAGAGAGCCTATTTTACAAATAGATCAAAAATAGTTCAAAAACCAATTAAGAAAGAGAAATGGATTAAAATTAGAGAAGAAAATTCAAAGTTACTTGACAATCAAGAAAAATATCAATTAAAAAGGTGCACAGATATTGAAGATGCTGCATACTCCAAATCCACTAGAATACCTTTACATAGATTGAGTGATTCGAAAAAATGTTAAAAGAATATATATTAAGATTAGGTTCCAGTGAATATCCCTTCTAGAAAAAATCGATTGAAAACGATTGAAAACAATAGGAAAGGAAATTCTATTGTCCCCAATCGTGTTTCTTAATCGTGTTCTTACAATTGAAGACGATCGACTTTCTTATTATATTCAATCGTTTTCAATCGTGTTCTATAGATTGTATTCCATGCACTATTGCTTGGTGGGAGTTTTTGAAAATTTTAAAAAATGCAACTAATTAAACAGTCTAGAAATATATAATTATTTCAAAGATTATTTTCCGAACTAAAAAAAAAATTGAAAATTGAATTACTGAAATTTTTTTTTAATTTCAGTCAATATTGAAGTTTTTTAAATAATCGAATATTGGAAGATCTACAATAATGATAAGATTCATTAGAAATAATTAAATTTCTGGTGATTTTAAATTGAAAATTTTGAAAATATTTTAATGAATGAAAAACTTTATACAAATGTAACGGGTTTAACATCCGTTTCTAGCACAAAATAAGTTTGTAAAGAATTTTAATTTAAAATTTTTAGAAAAAATTTATATTTCGAAGAGTTGCAATCAAAGTTTTTAATAAAAAATTTTTTTTTTTAAATTTATGATAAAATTTGCAAAAAGTATTAGTTAAAATTTTTTATAAATAAAATAATTATAGAATTTAATAGAAGTAATTCAATTTTGGAAGTGTTAGAATTGAAAGGTTTTGACTTATTATTTTTAAATAATTAAAATTTTGTAAAATTTAATTGAAAACAATTGAACTTTTTAAAGAATTTGATTACAATTTTTGAAAATATTTAATGGAAAAATTATGGTTTTTTGTTGTTGGAAGGAGTTTAGGTGAATTTCGAACAAAATTTATACTGAATAATTTTTTTGCTAAATTTTTTTGAAAAGCTGCTGGACACATAAAGTTTAAAAAAACTAAAAATTTTGTTCTAAAAAAAAAATTAAAAACTGAAATTATTTTAAAATGCAAGAAATAGAATTTTTTCTTATATTTATTTTTATATGTACCTAATTATTTATTTAATTTCTGTTTATATGTATTCTTTTACGTACCCATTTATTTATTTTTATTTTTTTGAGGTTATGGATTAACAACTCAAAGATTGTCATATTTAATTTGTTCATGTATAGGATAAGTAAACATATTGACATTATCCATATCACTAGAAATTTTACTTTAGATTTTAAATATTTGACACATACGCACGAACAGAACAAACTATATATTACAAAAGACTTATAAGAAAAACATCTTTCCTGTTTGATTCAACACTTTTCTTATTCTTATAATTAACTATTTGCGCATGTGCGTATATCGTTCTCCCGATAGCACCCGATTAAAAACAATTGAAAAAGTTTAACTTATTTTACACGATTGAAAACAATTCGAATCAATTGAAAAAATATATACTCCAATTGAAAACAATTCAAAACGATTAAAAACTTTTTGTACTCAATCGTTCTGAATCGTGTTTAATTGATTTTTTCTAGAAGGGATACACTGGGTGTCGATTATGTAATTTGATTTGACGTCAAAATCAAATTCATTTTAACGTCAAAGTCAAATTTAATTCAACAAATTCATTGTTTTATTTAACTTAGACGTTCAATTAAAATTTAATTTTTTATTTCAATTTAACGTCGCATTCAAATTTATTTTTTTATAGCAATTTGACGTATTGCAATCAAAAAATAAATTTGACGTCAAAGTCAAATCAAATTATATAATCGACTCCCAGTAAAAATACAGAATTACACTCGATTAAAATGATTCATTTTATTAATAATATACCATCAGACGTTTTGACATCAACGTTAATGTCCTTTTCAGTGTAAATAATTAAATAATTTGTTGAAATAAAAATTCGTTAACATGTACTCTGACTTGATTCGGCGAGATGATTCTTTGGCACAAAAATAATTATCATTATAAGAGCATATCAAAAATAATAATCTGACTAATAGTTATGTATATTTTATATATTTATTGTAAATTATATATTTCTCATAATACATAAATTAACATAAGTTGCATTATTAATATTGTTTAATAAACATTCTATTACAGTATATTTCATAGTTTATGTATGTAATTTATACTAGACTTAATTAATCTAGTTTTCATCCCAATTTCATTGGAGTGTACGCTTCCAAGTCATTAAAATCGCAATATACGAATATAATTTGCAAATTAATGTTAATATAATGCATTGTAACTTAAAATTATTTTCAATTCCAAATTAAATTTAACAATTTTATTGCATTAAAAAAAATTATTGTAAGAATCATATCATTAATGTGGCATGGCGCAAACCCTACTGTGTTAAAACAAAATTATGGCTATGTGCTACACTACAAAAAATATTTTTAAAAACATCTTATCAACAAGAACTAAAGCATCGAATGATTATTTTAAATTATTTAATTCTGTTCCATTTTATTTTAAGGTCTCCAAACCTGTATTTGATAAAATAAAAGAATTACTTGTTTTTTTATAATTTAATCCTTCGAGATTTGATTTAAAACGACCTGGTTCGGCATGATAAAAATGAATTACATCATTTAACTCAAATTTTTCCACCGCATTAATAAGCTTTGTACCACATGGGGGACAACCTAAAAATTTATACTCAAAAATTGATAAACCATTTCGTTCTAAACTGATCCAAAAATATACTTCTTGTTGAAAGTTCGAATGAATTTTTTTTTGCAATTGTTGTAATTCTATTGTCATGTTCTTGTAATTTATCAATATTGTTAAAAATTCCAAATCATTATAACCTAATGCATGAAATGAATATTTTAAATTATTTTCTATTTTGTGTGAAATTCCTTTTCCTTGTGATTTTGGAAGTGACACATCATTAGAATTGTTAGTTGACAATGGAAACCAGTTTTTGGTTTTAATTATCATCCGTAATGGAACATTTTTTGATGCGGATACCATAGGTACACAATCATAATTTGTTGTTAATGTATTTGTGCAATTTGTTTTTCCGGTAAGATTTAATTTGATTAATTTTTTTTCATGTTGTGGATAAGGAAAACAGAAAAACTTTAAATCTTCTATTTTGGAAGGTGTCTCTACCGTTAAGCTAAATGTTGTACCTTGTTTAATTATTATACCAAAATTAGTATTATCATTGAAGGTTTGATATTTAGTTCTTTGATTGGTCAGTGATCCTGAATTATCTCGAACTAAAGGCTCGATAGCTCGTGCAGTTAGCTAAAAGATGAATTTATAGTTAAATGAAAAATGCATGTGGTGATGAGGCACATTTATCTTTTAATTAATATTTTAAAAACTTACTGTCAAATTCCATGGCAGTGTAGGCTGTGAAATTGTACTCGACACAAATATTAGAAGCAATTTTATTAATATTAACGAAATCATGATTTACTATTTCACGAGTGACTACTCGTTTGACAACTTTGATAAAAAATTAGTTAACTTTTACTTTTTATATATTTTTTACAGTTTACATAGGTGTGAAAATCGGCAGAATTTTTATAATCGATGACGGTAATCGATGACGATAATATTAAATCAATAGAACTTTTTTGGAATAATTCAACAATAATATATAGTTGCTATTGCGTCTATTTGTGTTCTTAATAATAAATTAGAATAAAAAAAGTCTTTTAAGTCATTTAAAAAATATTAGACGCAAGTAACCATTTCTAGTTTTTATTGTTTGTATAGGTGTTTAAAAATGAACAGAAATTTTTAAACTATGACGTTAATCGGTGACGAAAATAATAAATCAATAAAATATTTTTTTTAATAAGTCAACGAGAATATAGATGTTACTTTCTATATGTGCGTCATTTTTAATAAATTAAAATAAATAATACCCCGTACTCCAGCAGCGAGATACGACCAACTTTTTTCAGAAGCCATGTACGAAAATAATCGTAAGAGATGCGTACATAAAAGTTGACCGTTGGTCAATATAATTTCTGCCTTATCAAATATGATTAGGTTAATTAAATGTCCAATGACATAAATTTCATTTAACATATATAAAATTCAAATGACATAAATTGCATGTAAACAATTTTTAAATTTCTCCATCGCCATATTGGATCCGTTAGTTTGAATTTTGAAAAACTGATCTTAGATTCGTAATCAGCGACCCTAAAACTGCAAATTTCTTTTCCTTTTATAGTTTTTTCTGGATGTAAAAGAGTTAAAGGAAATAAAAATTATATATTTTTTTATCAATTGTTTTATTTTAAATGAAAAAAATAGAAAAATATAATGAATTAATTAAAAATTATTTGTATTTATATATAAAAAAAAATTTTTTTTCATTAGAAATTTTGTTTTCATATTTATTATTAAAAAGAAGAATGTTGTTTGGCATATTCCCAAATGCAAATTGCACCAGTCACGTGGACATTTAACGATCTTATGACTCCAACTTGTGGAATTTCCACGCAATTATCTAAAATTGGTATTAAATTTGGTGGTATTCCATCTTTTTCGTTTCTAAAATTAAATAAAAAGAAAAAATTTATAATTAATACCAGAAAAATCATTTTTATGTAATTGACTAAAAAATTAATTTTTTAATAATTGTTACCCAAGAAGTAAAACAGTCTTTTTCTCAAATTTTTTCTCCAAAAGACTACAACTATTGGCAGTTTGCTCTAAGCCAATTAATTTCCATCCTTTTTCTTTCATTTTCATTAAATATTTTGATAAATCATGTGGTTTTACCTGAGAAATTTGCAGAATTGAAAAATTAAATATAAAAATTTATTTTTAATTGAAGTGAAAATTCAAAAAGGTAAATTAAAAAATGAATAATTATGCCTAATAAAAATAATTATAATAATGAAATTAGAAAATAGTAAGTAAAGGTTTAAAAAAATTGAGTAATATAAAAAAGCGGAAAAAGTTAATAATAGCTAAACAAAAAAATTTACAAAACAAAACAAACAGTAAGAAATTTCAAAATACCTACATGAAAATAAATGAGTAGAAAAAAAGAATTAAAAAGGCACAAAAATAAAAAAATAGTTAATATGTTTAAATAAATAAAAAAACCTCAGTGATTTTTAGCCATTTTTCAGCTGTGACACTAAGAGATTGAAATTCCTTGTTTTCAATGCACATTTTATTCGCTAAAACCATTTCACCAGCGCCAAATATTTCACAAGTTCTTGCAATTCCACCGAGATTTGGAATTCTTTCCACAAGTGAGGCCACAACAATTATTGATTCATTCTCAACATTTTTTATACAATCATCGCGAACATCAAAAATTGTCAATTTATCGGGTACAATTTTTTTTTGTAGATCAACACAACAATCATTCATTGACGCTTCGTTCTTTTCTGTGTAAAAAAAAATTTCTCATTAAACAAAAAAATATAAATTTCATTTACAAATTAGTATAAATAATATATTTATATTTTTCAATTTAGAAAAAAAGTATTATTTTTCAAAAAGACCATTAAAACAATGTAATTATTTTTTATAAATTACTAACCTCGTGATTTTATTTTACTCGGAATTAATTCTATTCGACTTAATGAGTTTAATTCGTCAAATAATTTCAAAGGATGTTTTTCCATTTGAATAAATCCATAATTTTCGAATATTATCGGCGAAATTAATTCGTCGCTACTCATATTTGTTAAACGTGGAACTTCATAATAAATAGACTGCAAAAAAAGGGAAAAATAATATTTGAAAAAAGTAATCAAAATGTGAAATTTTGTAATTAAGTTAATTAGATTTGCGTATAAGATATTGAATTAAATAAATAAATTAAATTACTAATAATGTCACCAACCTGTAAATTGTAATTATTTAACAAATGAAAATCCTCGTAATAAAATTCATTAGCTATTGGAAAATTTCTCTGATCTAATGTTTCAATAATTGCTTTATATAAATTATCATAATCGTCAATTTTTTCGTAAAATTTCACTAAAACTATCTATAAATTTTAAAAACAAATTAATAAGTAAAATTTTTTATTAATCACCTACCAAAATTTTGTTATTTTTATTATTTATAATAATTTAAATTAGGTAAATTAAACTATAGTTTATTTGTCAACTATTTATTTATTTATTAACTATTGTTAACTAATGTTATTTTTATTTCGCAATAAATTTTCGTTTTATTTCATTTTAATACCTGACAAGCGAGACGAGTATTAAAATTTGGACCCAAACATTCAGGAGCAAGAAGTGATATAGCAGTTTTATGAAAATTATTAAAATTTTCATCATCTTTTTTTAAGAGTTTAGAAATTTGCAAAATTACACCAGCTACAAATTTCAAATTTCCCGGTCGTTTCTCTTTAACCTGTGAATATAATTTTTTTATTTTTTAAATTTTTCACTACAAAACAAAATTATCTACCTTCAATTTAAAAATTACGTCTTAAAAAAATCCTTTCTTTTGTCTATTTAATTTAAATAATAATAATAATAATAATAATAATAATAATAATAATAATAATAATAATATAATTCGTAACTGAAAAAATTCATTGATTGATTAAAAAGCTTGATAAATAAAACAATTATTAAAAAATTAAAAAATGACCTCCTTGAAAAAATTCCATAAATCACTTGTATCATTTTTTTGACTCGAAAAAATTTTCGATAAAATCCAGGACATCATAATATGAACGCTTGGTTGATCGGCAGTATTGTATAAAACAATATCAATTATTTCTTCTCTCAATTTCTTCCTACAGTCCTTGATTAAAAAAAAATATATATATATATATATATATATATATATATATATATATATATATATATATATATATAAACGATTGCAATTTACCGCATTTAAAATTAAATTAATTATATTTTTAAGACGGCTAATAAAAAAAAATTTTTTGTTTAATTCTACAAAAATCGGAAAAATTGTTTCCCTTCTACGAAACCAGATCAAATAAAAAATTTCATAGTAAAATTTTTATATTCAATATTTAAAAAAAATAAAAATTAGAAAAATAAAAAATTACAAACATTTTTTTTGTAATATAATTTTTGAATTAAAAAAACAAATTAATTTTTTCATTTACCATATTTAATATTGGTTCCAAAATCAGTAGAGTTTGAAAAATTCTCTGCTGAATTCGATGAGAATTCGAATCGCTAAAATAACGTTTTCCTTTAAATTTTTTCAAACTTTTTATCGCAAAATGCAAAATATCAGTGGAAAAATTTTCATCAACACATAATGCTCGATGAAAGAAAATAAATCCACGTGCTCTAATTTCATTGTCAATATTATGATTTTGAATTGTCGTTGAATTATCATCATTTTGTTTTGACAAAAATTCATATGTTTGTAATTCAATTTTTGTATCTTTACGCGGTGCTTGTCCATGATGAAGACAATTAAAAATTGCTTCTTCAAAGAAAATTAGTGATTTTGAATCTAAATTTTGTAAATTTTTTAAAAAATATATTTTTATACTTGGAGCTGTTTCACCTTCGTTTAGAATTTCATTAAGCAACTGTAAAACGTAAAAAAAAGTGATTTATTATTTAGATACGCATTCTTTTTTTGTCTAAAATCTCGAAAGATCGAATTTTAGAAATTCGAAAATTCCAACTCTTTGAAATAGGATCTTTTGATAAATTGGATTTTTGGCAATTCTAATTTTTACCAATTAGGTTATTTAAATTTCAAATAATAATTAAATTTTTTTAAATTGAAAGTAACTTATCAAATAATTTACAACAAAAATTGACTTTCAAAAGATTTTAATTGGAAAATCCTTTCAAATAATTGACTTTTTTAAGAATATTATAAAAAATAATTAAAAATAATTGAATTTTGCAAGAGTTATAATTAGATGTAATTAAATTTTAGAAGATTTTAAATTGAAATTATTAAAAATACCTAATTTAATTTTTAGCAGTTTTAAATTGAAATTTTTTTTATTTTTATTTGTTAATTTTTTTTAATTTTAAACAATAAATTGGATATCATAAAATTTTTAATCTTAAAAAAAAACTTTTTGAAAATTCATTCTTCTGGTAATTTGAACTTTTAAAAATTCGATTTTTTTAAATAATTTAAACATTTGTAAATTCGCTGAAATAGAAATTCCAACTTTTAGAAATTTGATAATTCTCACTTTTGTAAATTAGAATTTTTAACAATTCAATACTTGGGTTATTCGATATTTTGAGATTTTGTCCAAAAATAAATCGACTCATTTCAAAGTAAAAAAAAAAGGTAAATTCAAGGAGAATTCAAAATAATTCTGTATAATAAAATAAATCTTACCTCAATTACAAAATTCTTTTCAGCTTGAAAAAAATTTATATTTAAAATAATTTGAAAAATATTATCCAATGTTATCCAAAAAAATCGATTTTTCTTTCCCGTTAAAATTGATTTCCAACATGTTTCAATTAAACATTTTTCACTATAAAAATCTTCATTCATCGAAAATGACTTTTGTTTCAAAATTTTCGATAAAATTCCAATTACAAATGGAACACCATTCGCTCCTGCCTTATCAAATAATGCAGAAGCAATCGCAAGACAATTATTCGGAATATCATTGGAATTTATTTGTAAATAAAAATCGATAATTTTTCCAAATGTTAAATAATATTCCATTGTTGCTCGTCCTTTCATTCCCATCATTTCTTCTTCGAATATTAATGATCGATTGAAAAAATTCTCCAATAATTGTGAAATAATTTCCTTTGTTAAAAATCCATTTTTCATATTTTGACAAATTTCCAAAATTTTCAATCCATAAAGTCGTCGCAATGGTGGGCAATTATTTTCAATTTTTAAACAATACAATGCTTCATTTTCGAGTTTAGGGAAAAAATTTAAATCATCATTTTTTATTTTTTTTCTGAGATTATGAAAAATTTTCAAATATTCCGAATATTTTAATATTACCGTATAATTTAATTGTGATTTTTTTGGAATTAATAGTAAAAAATCGACAATATCATCGCGAAATGGAAGAAGAAAATTGTAAAAAATATCATTGTAATTCAAAAGACGAAAAATTAATTCAATAATACGATCAATTAATTCGTAATTTATATAATGTCTCAAATTAATATTTTGTATATTATACAATAATTGATACAAATCTTCTCGTCCATTTTCATCATTTAAATGAGAAAAATCTTCAATTATTGCCAAAATTTGTGCAAATGCTTCAATATTTATTTCACATCCCTCACGAATTTTTTCACAAGATTCACAAATATATTTTTTTATTTCTAAATTATTGACTTCAATTCGTTTTAAAAAATCAAGAATTATTTGCCATGATTCAGAATCACGAACAATTAATTCATCATCACGTGGGAATGTGATGAGAAAATTTCCCAAAATTTCTAAATTTATTTTCTCATCACGAATTATTGTAATAAGAATATTTTTTTGCGACGCTTTTCTCAATATTGTCGAATGATGACAAAGATTTAATTCAATTAATTTTTTCAGACTCATCAAATTTTTTTCCTCCCTCAATTGAAATGAAATTTTCATCTTTGACAATGCTAAAGTTACATAAAAAATTGAAATTGGATCCCAAGAAATTTCGGCGATTGATGATAAAAATTTATTAATAAAATTTTCTCCCCTTCTCTCGAGAAAATGACAAAGTTCTTTATAAATTTTCAAACTGCTCTCATCATTTTCGATTTCGTAGAGAAAACGATTATTGAGGGCTTTAGTAAACAAAATAATAAAATCATCATCATCATCATTGGGATTTAATTCGAGAATAAAAAATACACCACGTTTAACAATTGCATTACTTTCGTGACGAAGAATTTTTTCCAAAATACACGCAAACCACTTGAAATCAAAACAATTGCCACAATTCCGATGCTCAAGATAAGCGTCGTGAAGATTATTTAAAATTGCAAATGTAGGAAGTACAAGATTTTGTTTTTTCTCCTCCAATGATTCGAGAATGAGAATATAATTATTTCTCGTTGTTAAAATTGAATTTCGATTTAATTCACAAGTGAAAGGAATTTTTGATTTTTGACAAATTTCCAAATTATTTGCAATTAAATTTTTACTAATTTGCAAATTATTTTCATTGTGTAAAAATTCGGTGATTATTTTAAAAATAAACATCGCTTGTTTTCTCATTGATTCGATGCGTGATTTTAGTCCATTTAAAATAATTGTCCAAAATAATTGATCGTTGAGAAATAAGTAAAAATTTTCTTTCTCATTTGATAAGAAATTAATAAATATACAAAATCCCATTAAATCATTATTATCCCTCAATAAACGCCAAAGTATTTTTAAACTCTCGTTAAAAGTGATTTCAATTAATTTTGGTAAAAGTGAAACGAGCATTTTCCCTTCATTCTCATTTTTATTTAAATACCAAATTTCCAAATCTTTTGAAATTTTAAAATCCAAATTTCTCCAATTTTCATAGGAAAAATTTTCTTTATTCATAAATTTATATAAACAAACGACATCAACGAAACATTCAATAAAATTCATAAAATAATTTTTCTCATCATCATTATTTATCATTAATGAATTTAAATTTTTCTTACAGTGAAAATTATCAAATTCACGATAAATATTTATTGATTCAAGAAATAGTCGTAAAATAATGATATCCTTAATTAATGTAAATTGTTCTTGAGTGAAATTTTTCGAATTGGAAAATAATTTGTCAATTGAGAGATTATTTTCTAATGATGTTTTTTTGGATAATTTTTTCTGATAATCATTGTAGAGAATCATTTGATAGATTTTTAAATTATTTATATCTATTGTTGTTGATGTTGTTAATTCGTCATTGTAATTTTTTATTAGACGATTAATTAATGTTTCACTATTTTCATCGCCAAGTATTATTGATAAATCTACTATTGGCAAATTTTTGAATTTTTCATGTAAATCCATTTTTTCTTTTTTAAAATCTGTAATTAATAAATTCTAAGTTAGGGTTTTTTCAAATAAAATATTATAAATATAAAAATTATTATTAGCAGGAAAAAATAAAAATTTCGATATCTCCCTTGATCTTGCCGCTGCAATTTCAAGAATTGACAAAAAAATAATTTTAAAAAAATTGACTTTTTTAAATTTAAATTAAGTGGCAATTCTTCTTATAAATCTTGTATTCAGTTTATTGAAATTGGAGAGAAATATTTGTAAAATATAACATTTGACAAATGAAAGATTATAAAATATAACATTTGCTTACGTAACGTTTGTAAAATCTAACAATTTGTATTTTTCTTTATTATAATGAAGAAAAATTTCCGTCTGTAAAATATAACATATAATGACAAAAAAAATTTGCGTAAAATTGATACTGACTCAAATTTTTCAAAATTCCAGAATTTTAATGATTTTCTATTTTTGAATGCTCATAAATTCCTTAAAAATACATCAATATTGTAAAAAATTTTTTTTTTTTTTTTAATATGTGTTTTTAACTGAACTTTTCAAAAACATGCAAAAAATTATAAAATTAAAATTTACTATATTATTTATAATTTAAAGGTGAAAATTTTGTTTTTAAAACTGTTTGTATATCCTTCGATTTTTTTCAAAAAATTACTGGGACGTTCCATTTCACGAGGGACTGGCAAAAAATTGATTTTATTTATACTTGGTGATTTTGTTGTGTTTGTGATGCTAAATAAGTATGTCAAAAGGTTTTGCAAAATTTTTAATATTTTCCATGATATTTGCAATTAAACAATTTCGTCACTTTTTTCAAGAATTTTTATCTCGCAAACAATTGATCGAAGAAAAAAAATGTGTTCTAATTCAAAAATTGTAGGGAAAACATTGAAATTTGATAATATAATTTTTAAAAATTCAAAAAAAAGTTAATTTCTCAATAATTTATTTAAACAATAATTTTTTATTGTTGTTTTTTTTTATACGAAGATGGCGGCAGAATTTTTTTTTCTTTTTTTTTTATTAAAGTAAAGCTTATATTATTTGAACTAGCAAAATTAAACGCGCGCAAGCGCGCAAAAATTAGGAATGTCATTGTTTATTATAAAGAAATTAAAATTAATATTATCAATAATATTTTTAATTTATTATAATATTATTACATTGTTAATAATAATTCCTTAATTTTTATCAAATAAAAAAAATATTTATTAATTTTTTTTTGATTATCTGTCGATAATTTTTCAGAAATTCTTCAAGAAAATTTTCGATTTAAAATTTAAATTGATAATTTTTAATATAACATATATCGGTAAAGGTCTTGTAAAAATTTCTTATCATCAAAATATTTATCATTAAATAAAATTTTTTATTATATAATAATAAGTAATAATTATTATTATTAATCTATTATATGAAATATATAAATTTTCAATTGCCTATAATAAAAAAAAAAAATCTGGCAGCCCCCTGCGGGGGCGGCCACATTCTCATCACGCGCTTCGCGCGTAGGGGCTCGCTTCGCTCGCTAGTTTGAGCGCGCCCCGGGGCGCGCGAAGGATAATCGTCCCGCTTCGCGGTCCGATATTATTACGCGCTTCGCGCGTTTTGTTTGTTTATTACAATTCAAAACCTATTAGCATTAATTACTTTTTAACTACACTCTGTAATACAAAAATTTTCCTATTAAATTTAAAAATTGTATTAATTGTACTACCAGAAAGTAGTTGAATGACCCAAGAATCTATTTGGTAGAATGAGATTTTGTAGTTGTTTCAGACTTTGTAGTTGATTTAATTAATTTTGAAGTAAAATGTCAAGAAGAAAGAAATTATTTTTATTAATTTTATTAAAAAGAGTAAAATTAATTACACACAGAGTTAAAATAAGTAAAAAAGTAGTTATTTTAAAAGTGGATGTTCATATAATCGACTTGTTTTGAAAAATTTATTAGAAACAACTCATAGTCTTTATTAAAATGCGTTAAATTAAATTATAGAAATAGGTAAGGTTTAAAGGTATTAGAATAAATTTTTTATCGGGCACTGAAGAATGACGGCACTGTAGCTGTTCAAACTTAGTTCCTTAATATTGCGCCGTGGATTGGCCAGGTCTTTGTAATTAACGAAAATCGACAAACCAAATTATTTACTAAAATAAGATATTCCGCTTTGAGCTAATTTCAATTGAGTAAAAGAAAAAATTAATTGAAGTGCGATTCCAGGTGAGATTTTGACTTTTTCGAAGTAGGTTAACCGATTGCAATGAAACTTTGTTATATATAGTAAGACTAATCTTTAACGTAAATTTCAGCTTAAAATATTTGTTAGTTTACGAGATTTGCAATAATAACAAAAAATGCGAGTTTAACTTATTTAATTTTAATAATTTACGTGTATAAACAATTGCGATTTCTGCTAGTTGACGTGCAGACGTCATTGCGCACGCAGCATTCTCCTATAACTAGCTGACGTGATTCGTGGACTAAATTGGCTACGTGAGAATGCTGCGTGCGCAATGTCGTTAATGTTCCTTTGGAACATTAAAGAAAACACAGGTAAGATCATTTTAGCGTTTGAGTGATTGAATTTTAGATTGTCGCGTGAAATTTATTCAATTATTATTTAATAATTTTTTTAGTTGTAAAATTATAAAAAATTGTTCTGAAAGAGATTTATTCCTCTCATTTTCCTTGACATTTTAAAAAAAGTAGACCTCAATCCGATTATTAGAACGGAAGATATAGCACTTTAAAATTTTTTGTTATTATTGCAAATCTCGTAAAGTAACAAATATTTTAAGCTGCAATTTACGTTCAAGATTAGTCTTACTATATATAACAAAATTCCAAAGTTTCATTGCAATCGGTTAACCTACTCCGAAAAAGTCAAAATCTCACTTGGAATCGCACTGAAAATTTAAAAACACTAAAAAAAAGAACTTTAAAGTAAATGCATTTTTTAAAGCAACAAATTTATTATATGAGGTTTCGCTCTCATGTTTTTATTCATAAAAAATTTTTTGTACAATTTATATAAGTGAAATTTTTGGTTTTTATAAATTAAATTTCATTTTCTTAAAGTACTTTGACTTTAAGGATAACATTCTCATCACGGCACTCGCGTTTCACACTCGAAAATTAGAAACATACAATAGGAAAAGGAGGCATGCATTAACCCATTAACGAAATTTTTACAGGTAATTTGAGGCTCTATCAAATAGTGTACTAAAAGAACCGAAAATTTTTAAATAAACAATTTACAAGCATTAAAAAAAAGATTTTTTTAGAATTTTTGTTCAGTTTTTATAATTTTTCAAATCTTATCCCTTCAGAATACCTTTAAATGCTAAAAATATGGTGTCAAAAATGTTCCAATACGCCATTTTGAATTTTTAAAAACTGACTTCAGAATCGTAATGAGCGACCTAAAAACCAAGGAGTAGAAAGATTTATTTAAATTTGTTAAAAAGATTGTTGAAAAATGAATTTTCTCTTAAAAAATAGCAATGTTTATACTTAGTTAATTCATAATTCTTTATAATTTCGCCTGCTACACTTATTATTTTTGTTTCACTTCACAATGCTTTCGTTATAGTGGAAAAAATGTTTTAGGAATACTGCTTCAAAAACTTTAAATCTAGAGATGAAAGTTGCTAAAAGAAAAGATGGCAAAATAGGTTAAAACTGGGACGCAAAAAATTAATGAGTAAAATAACACATCGAAAATAATATAAAATTTTTGTTACCTTAATCGTTATAGAATATAACTTTTTTAACTTTTTTGTTTAAATCTGTATAGAAAAGTGTTAAAGAAAAAAAAGTTTACAAATCTACAAATAAATAGATTTTAACTAATTCAAAAGTAAATAATCGAAAAAATACGAAATTGTGGTATAAACAGCGCAATATAAAGTATTTCAAAATAGAGGATTTTTTGAAAACAATTGAAATGTTTGGAAATAGAAAACAATAGTTGGACTTATAACAAAAAAAAAATCGGAAATTTATGAGTAAGTCACTGTTATTTGTGTTAATTTAAGGTGGTTTAACCCATTAACGCCCAAAAACTGAAAATTCTTTGTACACATTCAGGTTACGTTATTTTAAATAAATCGGTCAACATTTTCTACGAGAGGTACATTTCCTATAGGTCTTGAGTGTGCTTTTTCCGATTCCGGTATCAAAAATTAATTTCGTCTAAGCCGAAATTAAATATGGCGGTTTAAATATCAAAAAACACAAAAAAAGTTTCATTTTTTTCAGTTTGACATTTTTTTTCAATCGGAAAAAATGTAAGAATAAAATTAAATTGTCAACCATAGGTGCATAAAAGTTGTGTACTTTCGAGAAACGTAAAGTAGAATAAAAAATTTCAAGATGGCGGACCAAATATGGCGTCAAATTCATTGTAAAATGTGAAAATTTTGTGCAATATTGGTCAAATTGACAAAATGTAACTGGATTTGCCTGAATTTTGTTACTCGGGGGTTTTTGGGGTTGCTGATTAAGAATCTGAAGTCGGGTTTGTAAAATACAAAATGGCGGATCCATAACCACTATCTCCATAAAATCCAATGTTTACGCATGCGCACAGAAAAAGTTGATGAATTCGTTGAAAAAGTTTAAAAATTTACTAACTTCGTGCCCAACCAGAAGATAATATCTAGTTCATGAAAGTTTTACTAACTATTTCTTTCTGTGTGTATGTCACTAGAAATATTCAGACATGTGAATAAATAAATTTTTAATTCAGTATTAATAATTAAATCTAAAATAAACAAATTATATTTAAAAAAATAAAAAAAAAAATAACATTCTTAATTTTGTCTACCTCCACGTGGTAAGAATTGGTAAACGCCTAAATGGGCTGCTAAAAAAAAACTGAAAACCCCTTCAGGCTATTTGAACGGATTTTTACATTTTTCATTTGTCATATTGGATCCGCCATATTGTATTTTTGAAAACCGACTTCAGATTATTAATCAGCGACCCCAAAAACCCCCGAGTAACTGATTTCATGTAAATACGATGAATTGTTCTTTTTAGTCCGCCATATTGGATCCGCCATTTAGAATTTTTAAAAATGAAGTTCAAATTCGTAATCAGCAACCCCGAAAACCTTCGAGTATTAAAATTCAGACCAAATGAATGCATTTTTAAAATTTTCATCTGCCATATTGGATCCGCCATTTTTAATTTTTAAAAATGAAGTTCAAATTCGTAATCAGCAACCCGGAAAACCCTCGAGTATGAAAATTCAGACCAAATGAATGCATTTTTAAAATTTTTCATCCGCCATATTGGATTCGCCATTTTTAATTTTTAAAAATGAAGTTCGAATTCGTAATCAGCAACCCGGAAAACCCCCGAGTATGAAAATTCAGACCAAATGAATGCATTTTTAAAATTTCATCCGCCATATTGGATCGGCCATTTTGCATTTTTGAAAACCGACTTCAGATTCTTAATCAGCGACCCCAAAAACCCTCGAGTAACAAAATTCAGGCAAATCCAGTTACATTTTGTCAATTTGACCAATATTGCACAAAATTTTCACATTTTACAATGAATTTGACGCCATATTTGGTCCGCCATCTTGAAATTTTTTATTCTACTTTACGTTTCTCGAAAGTACACAACTTTTATGCACCTATGGTTGACAATTTAATTTTATTCTTACATTTTTTCCGATTGAAAAAAAATGTCAAACTGAAAAAAATGAAACTTTTTTTGTGTTTTTTGATATTTAAACCGCCATATTTAATTTCGGCTTAGACGAAATTAATTTTTGATACCGGAATCGGAAAAAGCACACTCAAGACCTATAGGAAATGTACCTCTCGTAGAAAATGTTGACCGATTTATTTAAAATAACGTAACCTGAATGTATACAAAGAATTTTCAGTTTTTGGGCGTTAATGGGTTAAACAGAAATAATACATAGAATAACATAGTTTTTCAAAATAAAGTAATTTTTATAACCTATTTTTCAGCATCAGAAAGGCTTGAAAAGTGGAGATATACATGAATTAGATGTTGGTCAAAATCGGGCAAATGTAATACTTTCTCATTATGATGAGAATGTAAAAATAAATTTTTAATTAAAAATTTAAAAAAAAATAGAAAATGTCGGACTCAATATGGCTACCCAATATGACGGAAAAATTTGAAATTGATATGCTTCGTTCAAAATTCGGTGCTAGTGAATTTGTAGGGTCGGTAAATCAAAATTTGAGGATCGATTTAACAAATTCAAAATTTGGATTCATAGACACCAAAAATCTCCGTGTACCGAATTTTAAACTAATCGAATCAATGTTAAATTATTCCGTTATGATGAGCCAGCCATTTTGAAATTTTTAAATCTAACCTCAAATTCGAATTCAGGGACCTCGAAAACAACAGTGTACTCATTGATACTTAAATAGAAAAAGATTTACTATTTTCTTCAAATGTGTACAAATACGTCCAAAATCACAAAAACGGAACGTCTTTTTATTGGGATATATATGAGCTATGGACTGTCAAGGGGTTAGATAAAAAAAAAGGGCTAAAAATAAAAGAAGTTCACTAAATTCAAAAGTTAGCAATCAAAAACTTACGATATTCTAGTAAAAACAGTGCAACATGAACTAATCAGAAACATTATGAAAAAAATTGCAATTTTTGGAAATGGATAGCAATGGTTCACTTATAAAAAAAAAAAAAAAAAAAAAACAAAAAAAAAACAAAAAATTCGGTATTTTATGTGTAAGTTACTTTAATTTATGTTAATTGAAGGTGGTTTAAAGAGAAATAATAAATATTTGAACACATTTTTTCAAAATAAAGTGATTTTGCTCTGCATTTTACCCATTTTTCATCCGTTTTTGTCATTTTTTGTCTTTTTTTAAAAAAGTGCTATAACTTTTTTGTTTTAATCGCTATTAAAAATTGTCAAAGGAAAAAAGTGTTTATTTTTAGTCGTAATTTTCGAAAAAAAATTGAAAAAAATTTTTTTTTGAAAAATGCGAATTTTTGAAATTTTTAAAAACTCAAAATTTGAATAATTTTGTTGATTTTTGACGAAATCATCTGGCCAACGAACTCAGGCGAGATTTTGGTACACTTAAAGTGTATACCAAATTTGAAGTCGATTCATTAAAATTTGTTCGAGTTATCGTCGGACAAAATTTGTCTACAGACATACATACATACATACATACATACATACATACATACAGACATACATACAGACAAACATTTTTTTAAGACCCATTTTTTCGGCATCAGCAAGTCTCAAAACGTCGAGATTCACTGGAATTAGAGAAGGCTCAAAATCGCCCAAATGTAATACCTTCTCATTATGATGAGAATGTAATATTTTGAAAAAAAAAATTATAACCAAAAAATAATAAAAATTGTTATTTGTTATTAAATGAAATTTTTTATTTTTTATTATTATTAATAAATTTAAATTAATAAATAAATAATTTATAAATTATTTAAATTTAATATATATTATTCAATATTCCTAATTAATTAATTAATGTAACATATATAAATATATATAAAATATAATAATTTAAATTTTATTTTAAATAAAAATTATAAAAAAAAATTAATATTTAGTCAAAATTAAAAATTTATATGTAGATATAATATAAATATATATATAATATAAATTTTTTTAATTATAATAACAAAAATAAATAAATATTTTGTGAAAATAAAAAAAAAATTTAATTTGTAATATATAATATAAATAATAAATATAATATAAATAAATAAATAATTTAAAATTTTTTTATTATTTTTAAAATTAATTATATTATTGTGATTTAATTAAATAAATTTTTGAAATTTGATAAAATTATTATATATTTTAAATTAAATTTACCATCAACTTATGCATCTTACTTTAACAGCAATCGAATCAATTTTTCTCACAATCCTCACAATTTTTTTGCACGATTCTAACAATTTTATATTTTTAATAATTAAAATACGACCGCACAAATGACAATGTCAAAACATTGAAAAATTTTAACCAACACAAAATAATGTCAAACAACACATTTAAAAAAAACAAAAGACCTATAACAAATACTAACTTCAGGTGTGGACAGAATGAACGAAAGATATTCACGATTATTAATTATAATTATGTAATTTGAATGAATTTGAATTTATTTTAATATTAATTTTCAAAAAATTAAATTCTATACAAAAAAATAAATCTTCATTTGTAATTCTACATGAAAAAGACATTTTGAAAAAAAAATTTAAAAATAAAAAAAACTTGATATAAAAAATATAAGAAAATAGAATAATAATGAATAAACAGTCATTTTTCTTTGATAAAATTATCAAAAAAATTAAAAGAAAAAAAATACAAATTTTTAGACTCACCCTAAATGTTAAAACACAATAAAAATCAGCCAATTGTTAAAAAAAAAATACGTCAATGCCTGTGTGAAAATTGTAAATATAACCTAAAAATAAAATGTCAAAATATAAAAACATGTATTATAACCTAACCCAACCTTTCGAATTGCATAGTGGCACGTGGTTACGTTTTCTTCTATCTCAAAGGAGAAAATAAAAATAAATAAAAATTTGCAAAATCAAATAATAAAATAAAAATATTTTTCATATATATATACGAATGAGGGAAAATTTGATAAAAAATTTTCGTCTCTTCTTACGTAATTTTTCAATAAAATCAAAAATGGCACAAAGTAAATTTGAATATGTTAAGGGTTTTGAGCGCGATGAACATTGTTTACCAAATTGTTATATTGTTGTACGAATTGATGGCAGGGGATTTTCAAAATTTGCCGACGATCATAAATTTGTGAAACCAAATGATTTATCGGCACTTGAATTAATGAATCAAGCAGCAATTAGTGTTATGGAAAAATTTAAAGAAATTGTTATTGCCTATGGACAAAGTGACGAATATTCTTTTGTATTCCGACGAAATGCCGAACAATTTAAAAGACGAGGTATTTTTTTTCAATTGTTATTGTTATTACCAAATTTATTTTTTTTCGTTACATATAATTTTTTTTTTTTTTTTTTTTTTTTATTATTAAATCATTTTCTATTTTTCTAATTCATTCATCCATTTTTCACCCTGCCCATTCTTGCAGCAAAAAAACCTTCTTACCTAACCTTACCTTTCATCTAGCGTTGGGAAGTTGCGCGCGTATATTTGAATACGTAACATGTTAACAAGAACGTAATATACGTAAAAATGTATATATAGGTGTAAAATGTAAAAAATATTTAAATAACATAATTTTAAAAGAAGAAACAATGTTAAAGATAGTTTTTTTTAAATAAAGAGAAATTTTAATGTTTTTTCTATATTTAATAATTTAAATAATTAACCTCGCGTAATTCAAGGGGGAATCGATAAATAAAACAAGAAACCATTTATTTTAATAAATTAATATAATTTTAAAATATTAGAGAAGAGTTTTTGCTAATTTTTAAAATAAAATATTTTAATTAAAGCAAAAATTATTTCAGGGGCGGAGCTAGAAATGGTTAAATTTTATTAACTAATTTTTTAATATAAATAAAAATAATATTTTTTAAATAAGAAAAATGTATTTTTTTAATTTTTAAAGTCTAGAAAATAATAAAAAATTTTAATTTATATTATTTAAAAACAGTATTCAAAATATTTTTAACATTTTTTCTTTTAGTGTAGGAAAAATATTTTTTAAAATAATATATTAATAATATTAAAAATAATTTTTTTTTTATCTTTAAAAAAAGAAATTTATTTATTCAATTTTCGTATTAAAAATAATTTCACAATTATTTTCTGTTCGACAGTTTTTAAACTCACGTCAAACGTTAATTCATTGTTTGCCTCGTCTTACGTTTTTCATTGGTCTCAATTTTTTAATGACACAAAACTTTTGTATCCACCTGGATTTGACGCGAGATTAGTATTATATCCAATGGATAATAATTTACGAGATTATTTATCCTGGCGACAGGCGGATGTTCATATTAATAATCTTTACAATACATGTTTTTGGAATTTGGTCCAAAAGAAAAATATGACCACACATGAGGTAACAAAAATAGATTAAAAAAAAAAAATTATATTCTATTTATGTTTATTATTATTATAAAGTAGTTTTAAATAAACTTATTTCAAGAAAAAAATTTTTTTTTTATTGCGATTTAGACAAATTTTGTTTTCTAAATGTTTTTATATAGTTAATAATTTAATTAAATATAAATTTTGCTTTTGTTTTTGTACTTTGAAATATTTAATTACCAAAATTTAATTTTCCAGGCTAATGAAAAATTAAAAGGAACTGTGTCCTCGGATAAAAATGAAATGTTATTTCATGATTTTGGAATAAATTACAATAATGAATTGCCAATATTTCGTAAAGGTACAATTCTTTTGCGAAAAAATATTATTGAAAATGGAAGAACAAAGAAAATAATTGAAAAAATAGCCGATGATTTGATTGGTGATCAATTTTGGATAGAGAATAAAGAAATATTTGGCGAAAATTATGCATTTGAATTACAGAAATTGTCACAAAAATCAAGACGAGGAGAACAAAAAACAAAAACGAAAAAAATTGAGGAGACAAAAATTGACGAAATAAAAGAATAAAAGTTGTGATTAAAGAAAAATGTTGAAAATTAATTGTAAAATAATGATAAAAAAAAAATAATAATAATGAAATTTACATAATAAAAGAGATAAGAAAATCAAAAACTTGGTTTCGAAATTTTTGAATATGAAACATTTTTGCTTTTTCAAATTTTTTAAAGAATAAGTAAATTTTAAAGAATTTAAAAATTTTCAATTAAAGTATTAATGAAAAAAATAGTAAATTTTCAAAATTATGCTAATTATTTAATTATATATTTTTTTTTTAATTTTTTGCAGCACAAATTAGCGCAAAAATTATTTTTTAAAAAAAACAAAATTAAAGATATTTTAAATTAGGTAATTAATTTAATAATTAAATCAAATAAAAAAGAGGCAGAATAATTTGTTAACATGGAATGCAGAATGCTTTTATTATAGTGCGTTATTACACAATTTTACAGACAACAATTATACCTCTGTTAATAATAATACTTTTAATGGGCGAGAGAGAGAGAGAGAGAGAGAGATATTAAAGAATATACGATTAAAATTTTATATACTATGTACACAAGAAATGATATTCTTTTGTTTTATTTTAAAATTAAAATTTCAATCGCCAATTGTGGGAAAAAAATAATGAAAGAATTGAGATTTATTGTCTCTCAAAATTAATTTTTGTCGTTTATGACAAAGTTTTTTTTTTTTTTTTTGCCTTTTTTCCTACAAATAGGCGTAGAATAAAATAAATTTCATTTTATCTATTTATTTTCAATTTGTTTTGCTTTTTTTTTCTTGCTTTAAAAGATCGGAATATAATTATCGATTTTGGCGCGATGCTTTTGTGCAACGCATTCAGATATCCAGACAATATTGCGACATTCTTGCTCTTTTAGCTTCAAGTAACTGTAAAATACACCGAAATGAAATTGTTGAAGGAAAGCGTTCACATTCAAACGAACCTGAAAGTAAGGGAAAATAATAATTTTTTTTTGTTGTTGCAAATTTCAACGTGTAAATTACATATTGCCAATCAATCAATCAATTAATGGAACATAATTATTATTTGCAAAAATAAATGATATTCAAAAATTCACGCTTTCAAAATCAATTTTTTTTCAAAAAATTCACAAAATTTTATGAATACACAAAAATAATGAAGGCACAAAATCTACATCAAATCATTGTAATATATTAATATTATTATTGTTTTAAAAATTTACTGAAAACCTATTATTATTATTATTATTATTATAATTAAAGAAACTTCAATACAATTACTAAAATTTTTTTTAAAGTTAGGAATAATATTTAAAATTAATTTTAAATTAACAAATTTCAGGCTAATTAAATAATAAAATTCTAATTAATGGCAAATTTCTTGTAAAATAATAATTGACTTTTCAATTTTCTCACACAAAAATAGCCCTCTTTTAAAAAAAATAGTAAACTATACAAATAAATGTTTCTTAAATAAAACAAATTTCTCTATTTTTTATGAAAGATTTTTTTTTAAACGTAATATATGAAAAAAAATTGTTTATTTACCTCTCGTTCAAAGAATTTATCTTCTAGAGTTTTATCCCCAGGATTATTGCCAGCGCCTTCAAAAAGTGCGCTATATTCCTAGAAAAACAAAAAGAGGAAAAATAAATGAATTTTCAAAATAATATTTTGAATTTTTTTTTTACAAAAATAAAAAATATTAAATACTGCGTAATATTCGGCGACGGCTTTCACTTGTTCGTAGTCATCAGCACGAGCAAGAGCCGCTAATCCATCGGGATTCAATCTTCCGCAACGGGGATAGAGTTTGGCACGATCGTCCTTTCCCAATTCAGTCCCAAATGAATTGATTGTTATGATTATTGCTCGTCTATCTGCTTCGAACTGAAATTTTTTTTTTTTCTTTATTTATTTAAAGAATCATTTATTGAAAAAACTAATTTATTAGTGACAATAAATTTTTTTTTGAAAAAATTAATTTATAATTCGATAATAAAAATATTTATTTGAAAATAAATTCATTTTAAATAAATTTTATTTGAAAAAATTCATTTATAATTCGATAACAAAAATATTTATTTGAAAATAAATTTATTAATTTCAATAATTTTTGTTTGAAAAAGATTTTTTTTTTCTAAAGTTATTTTGCTGATTCTTACGGCGAGTATTTCGCACATCGTTTCCGCAGTAGTGCCACCAATGTCTTTACAGAATTTATAGAAAGCCTCAAGATAAGCCTTGTAAAGTGTATTTCTGATGATTTCAATATTCATTTCATCCAAATCTTGTTCGGAAATGCAATCGACGAAAAATGGAGCTAAAAAATAATAAATTTTTGTCATTGTTTTTTTTTTAATAAAATAAAAAAAAAAAAAAAAAATTCACATTCAAATTAAATTTCATTTAAGATAATAATTTTAAAAATATTTTTATCAAAAATTAAATAATAATATTAAATAATAAAAACAATTCAATTAAATATAAAAATATTACATTAAATTTAAAAAAAAAAAAAATTATATTATACCAAGAGGAGTGTCGACCAAAACAGCATTGTACAATTCAGCGGGTGTTGCTGCAACATGAATTGCTTCCATTTGCTCAAAACTACCAAGTGGATGACATTTTGGTATCAATTCGGAAATTGGTCGCTGATGTAGCGTTCCGGTAATAAGCAAAATAATATTGTCAATCATATAACTGTAAGTGATAAAATCGAGAAATTGTGACAATGGCTCAACGGAATGATTGCGCATATGTTGAAATTCAACAACAAGTTTCTCCCTTAATTTATCGTCAATAACACTGACAGACAGTGGCGATGGTTCGTTTGCCAAAAAACTGCCATAATCAGTGCCAGCCAAATGAAGTTTCAAATCTGAAAAATAACATTTTCTTATTTCCTTTTATATGGGACGAATGATTATGTTCTAAAAATCATTAGTTAGAATTTTCATTTTATGGAATTTTTCATTTGTCGAATTTATATGACAAATTTTATTTGAGTTGAATTTTTATTTCTTCGAATTTTTATTTATCAGAATTTTTATTTACTCGAATTTTCAATTAACATAATAGACATTTTAAAGAATTTTTATTAGATAGAAATTCATTGCATAGAATTTTCATTTTATTCTTTCAGATGAATTTTCATTTGTTCGGAATTTCCATAAAACCAATTTTTCTGCAGAATTTTTACTTAATCAAAAAATTATTTAACAGAATTTTCATTTGTCCAAAATTTCAAATAGCCGAACAAACAATTGATTTCGGCACGATTTTTAAAATCAACCAATTAAGGCCTGAGCAGAATAGAAACGTAACCGGAATCGTAATCGCAAACGCAACCGGAAGAATGAGTTAGAGAACGATAGACATATTGTTTGTCCTTCTCTAACTCATTCTTCCGGTTGCGTTTGCGATTACGATTCCGGTTACGTTTCTATTCTGCGTTGGCCTTTAAAAATTATCCATAAAATTGTGATTGGTTGATTTTAAAAATCGCGCCGAAATCGATTCGGACATTTGCAATTTCGGACAAATGAAAATACTATCAATTATAAATTATGTTAAATGATTTTTCGATTAAGTAAAAATTCTCTAGTATGAAAAATCGATTAATATGGAAATTATATAAAATAATAATTCGAACAAATGAAAATTCATCTGAAAGAATAAAATTAAAATAGTGAAAAATTATTCATACGTTGGGAAATTTCCCTAACGTGGGGGGGGGGGGAAATATAACACTAATCTGGGGGTAAAATTTTTTAAAAAATTAAGACTTTTTTAAAGAAAATAGGGTAAATTAAAATATATAATAAATATTTTATTTACCCCATAATTAAATAAAGAAAAATTAATTCATACACTCGGACATTTTTTTATAATATGGGGGTTATTTGTTACAAACCTGGGGTAAAAATGACACAAAATTTAAACAATTTTTGAAGAAAAAAGGTGAATTAAAATAAATGGAGAAATAATAATTAAATGAGATAAAATTATTCATTAAAAAATTATATTTATAATGTGGGGTAATAAAACAGTAATCTGGGGTGAAAATGCCACAAAATTTACAATTTTTTGATTAAAGGGGTGTAAAATAAAATAGATATTAAAAAATAATAATTAAATGTAATAAAATTATATCTAAAATTGGAACATTTTTATAATGTGGGGTAATATCTCACTAATCTGGGGTAAAATAGTACAAAATTTATACTTTTTTTTTATTAAACGGAGTAAAATAAAATAGATAATTATATAATAATTAAATGGGGTAAATTTATTCATACATTAGAACTTTTTTCATAAAATGGGGTAATTTGCCAAAAAAAAAACTGGGGTAAAAATGACATAAAATTTAGACTTTTTTTTGGGTAAACGGGGTGAATTAAAATAAATATTAAGATGTAATAATTAAATCGGATAAAATTATTTATACATTGAGGCATGTTTATAATGTGGGGTAATATGACAATAACCTGGGGTAAAATGGTACAAAATTTATACTTTTTTTTTATTAAATGAAGTAAAATAAAATAGATAATTATATAATAATTAAATGGGGTAAATTTATTCATAAATTAGGACTTTTTTTAACAATATGGGGTAATTTGTCACAAACCTGGGGTAAAAATGACACAAAATTTAGACTTTTTTAAAACAAACTGAGTAAAATAAAATACATATTAAGATAGAATAATCAAATAGGGTAAAATTATTCCTACATTGGTGTATTTCTATAATGTGGGGTAAAATGGAACTAAATTTATACTTTTTTGGAGCTAACAGAAGAAATTCAAAAAATATATTAAAATATATTACTTAAATCGGATAAAAGTATTTTTAAAATTTGGCATTTTTCTAATATGGGGTAATTTGTCACCAATCTGGGGTAATATGGCATTCAATTTAGACTAATAATTCTCCATATGTGTTTATTGAAGAATTAACAAAAAAAAAAAATCCGTTAAAATAAACAATCGAAAATTCCAAAAATGGAATTTTTTTATATTTTTCAAGGTCAAATTTCTCAAAAACCTAGAGATGAAATTTTTTTTCAATAGTTTCATTGTAATATGTGTTTTTTTTTATAAATATATATAATATAAAAAAATATGTGAGAAAATCAATATTCCCTTCAGGTGAATGAAAATAAAAAATCGTCGGCAGAAATGAATAATAAAATTTATTTTACATAATTTGAAAATGACAAATCTAATGAAAATATTTCACAATATTAATATATATATATATATATTTATAGAAAAATGAAATATTTTGACATCGAAACATATAATATAAAAGAATAGAATCAATATTGAGGTTAATTGTAAAATTTTTATCCATGACATTACTTTTTCATTACTGATTTTTTGGGAAAAAATAAATAATTTTCTTTTTTTTTTTTGTAAATAAATATGTTAAAATTAAAAATATTGAAGTAAAAAAGAACAAAATAGTGTGAAAAATTACCTTCAAGTGTCTCGCATTGTACCAAGTTTAAATAATCACTTTGTTGTAGAATTCCACACTTAAAACCACGACATAAACCCTCCAAATAACCATTATCAATATTAAATAAACACCCTTTCATTTTTTGTAAATGATTTTATTTTCAAAAATTAAGAACAAGAAATTTATCAACGATACGTCAAAAAATTTAAGTGAATAAACAAGGACTCGCCCTATTTCTCGTGAGGTGATCATATGATCATCTGATTTGCCAAGTTAATGTGAAGTTGTCTGCACATTGAAAATTCTTGGAATCGATAATTCGAGATATCGCAATGACGTCATTGCGCACAGACGTACTTTTTCAAAAATACTTTTTGTTTTCGATTTTATTAATTTTATTTTAAATTAAATTATTAAATGTCTTATTATTGTTATAATTATAATAATAATATGATTGTAAATAAATATTTTGGACTATTGTAAAAATTATTCATTTGCTTTGTTTTCAATCTGACAAATATTTTCTAATATTTATTTCCAAAATTATGTTTAATTTACAATTATTTTATTTAATGGAGTTTAATTAACACAATTAACATTGATATTAATTTTTACATAAAAAAAATTAATAAAAATTAAATTAATTTATTAATACATTTTATTAATTAATTATTTCAAAATAAGCGCGTGATGCTTTGACCAATCAGGTGATTTCAACTCAAATATAAACATTGCCGATACAAAAGTCCCTGGAAATTAGGGAATTTTTTGTAATAAATTTAGGGATTTTTGTATTTCTTCATTTGTCTTACCTGGAATTTGGGAAAGGGTCATAAAAAAAACATATATATATATACAAAAAATTATTGTCTGCTATTTACTTTTTGACTCTCTAAATTGCCGTCGACAGTTTTTCCCCCTCTCCGTCCCTTAAAAAAATAAATAAAAATAAAACAAAGTAACTGTTTGGAATTTTTTTTAAATTCTTTTTTTTTCCACAACAACATACCTCTGAAGTGTCATGATTTGTTAGTGTTATCGTTGCCATATGCACTGGATCATTTTTATTGGAGACCAGAATGTGGGTGAAGCCAGAGGAAGTTCTGCTTGCCAATGCTTTCTGGTAAAAAAAAAAAAGAAATTATTTTTCTATATATATTTTCAAAGACAAATAAAAAAATGAATGAACCTCCATTGTTTACATAGAAAAAATGTCAAAAAGAAAAAGACAAAAAAAAAAAAATTGATCGTCACTTGATTCATATCAAGTCGCGCGACAATAATTATAGTATTTTTTTTTTGTAGATTTTTATTTTGCAATATATAATAATAGTAAATCTTTGAAAATTGACTATGATTTTCTCGTTTATCTGTAATTGGTTCATGTGACGTGTTTGTTATCTCTTTCAATTACCAGTGACATTTTGTCGGTGCGTTAATTATAAAGGAATTTGTGTATTGTTTTTTTTTTACTCTTAATTTTGCGCGGCGAAAAAAATACAAATTTTGATTGTTTATCTTTATTTTTTCCCTCAACTTATTCAGAACGAAAAATATTTTTAAAAATTGAAATTTTATTTGTTTTTTTTTTCAAAAAGGAATTTTTATTCATTCTTTATTTTTTTCTTCTCAAGTTACCTATTAAAAACGAAAAATGTTATTAAAAAAAAAAAAATAGAAATTTTATTGTTCCTTAATTTGTTTCTCAATTTATTAAGAAGGAAAAATTTTATTAAAAAAATAGGAATTTTATTGTTTTAAAAATTTTTTTTTCTTAAATTTATTAATTAATAATAAATAATAAATAAGAACAATAAAATTGTTATTAAAAAAAAAACATATTTTTTCAGTTAATAGTTGACTAAAATTTCCTGTTATTAAAAATCCATTTAGTAATTAATTATTTTTATATATTTTTTACTTTAAAATAATAATTATTAAATAATTGATTAAAAATTATTTTTATTATTATTAGCAATTATTATTTAATTGACAATAAATAATTAATTACTAAATATTAATATAGTAATTAATTAATAAAGAATTATTTGAAAATTATTATTGCAAAATGCTTTTTTTTGAGAAATAATATCAAAAAATTAATTCCGCATTCAATGATAAAATATTTTTTGCGCGGCGAAAAAAAATACAAATTTTTATTGTTTTCTTTCATTTTTTTTTCATTAATTTATTAAGAACGAAAAATATTACTAAAAAAAAAATGGAACTTTATTGATTTCTTTAATTTTTTTTCTCATTTTATTGAGAACGAAAAAAAAATTATTATTAAAAAAAATATAAATTTTCAATTAATTATCTACGATTAAAATTTCTGGTTATTTAAAAAATCATTTAATAATTAATTAATAGTTAACAATTATTAATAATTAATTAGTTAATGATTAATTATTTAATTCGTAAATACTAATTTAATAAGTAATTAATAATTATTTAAAAACAGTTATTGAATTATTTGAAATTATATAATTGTTTACATGGAATAATTATAGAATTTAATTATAATTAATAACAATATATGAAAATATAATTTTTATATATAATTGAAAATAAAAATTTCAGGGTAACCGAACAGGAAAGTGTTTATTTTGTTCTGCAACGACGAAAGGGTCATGGTAAAACAAAGGGACTCACTTCAATTTTGGTGGGAACATTGGATAGTGTTTTCGATACAAAACCACCGCCTTTTCGTATTCTTCATCAAACACCGTCTTCCGAAGTTTATTGGGGCAAGAAAATTTATTATTTATTTACAATTTTTTTGAGGCCAAAAAAAAGAAAATTCTTTTTCCCCTAAATTTATATTGGTGCCAGAAAAAATACTTTTTATTTCAATATTTTTGTGGCAAAAAAATTTTTTATTACCCTTAATTTTATATTGGGGCAAAAAATAATTTATTTCAATATTTTTTGGACAAACCAAAAAATTACCATAATTTATAAAACGGAATTTCTGGTGAAAAAGAAATTTTTCTTTACCAAAAACGAAATATTTTTTTTTTGTTTTTTTTTTTAATTTAAGAAATATCTTTTATACTTAGTTTTTTTTTTTTTGATAAAAAGAATATTTTTTTTTGAAATCTCTTATTTATTATTAGAAAATATTTTGTTGAAAAATTTTTTGTATAAAAAGTAGTTTTCTAAAACATGTATTTCTTTTGTTTTTTTCTTTTATTTGCAAAAAAATAAATTTGTTTTATTTTTTTATAGTGGTCGCATGTTCGTTGACGAGAGATGAAATTGTACAAGATTGGAAATGGCTTCATGAAAATTTAATGGACACTTTGAAATCATTTGAAAATAGCGAGGATGATATAACAGAATTTGTATGCTGTAAAGTACAGTCGATTATTGCAAATAAAGTGCCGGATTGTCAATTTGCAGACGGTAAACATTTTTGTGTTTGCACTTTAAAAATGGATACTGATCACTAAACTACTGAAGATTATATTTATTTTTAATAATTTGTCTTTATTTTTATTTTTATTTATTTCAATTTTTAATTTTCTTCTCCATTTTTTAAATTAAAATATTGTATTTTTTATTTTCTTCTTTATTTTTAATATAAAATATTATATTTTTAATTTTTCTATTTTTAATTTTATTTTCTTCTAAATTTTTATTTCAATTACTTGTATATTTATATTTGGAGATGTATTTTATTTCTTCATTTTATTTTTATTTTCTATTATTTTACTTTCTTTGATTTTTCTTCTTTTTCTTCTTTCTTTTTAATTTAAAAAATTTCTTTTTTTTAATTATTGAATTACAATATTTTTAAAAATTTTTTTACCTTCTTGTTGTTTGTTTATTTTATTTTTTTATTTTGACTATCCATTTTTTTATTTTCTTTATATTTATTTTCATATTTTAATCATATTTTTATTTATTTATTTAAAGTACCTACGGGCAAAATCCAAATTTTTATATGGATTAAATATTTTTTTGTTTATTAATTTTATTTCTTATTCTTTCGTTCTTTTCTATACAACGACTGAAAGTATCAACAATACTTTTTGTAAATATTTTTTATTTTTATTTTTTTTGTAAATATTTTCAATTTATTAAATTATAAATGTTGATTTGTTAAAAAGATTTTCTTCATTTCTACTTGGAAAAAAATATATTTCTTCGTCATATTTAATTTTTCATTTTTTTTATCAATTTCTTCTTTTATTTCTGCTCCTTGAATTTTTGTTTTGTTTTGTTTTTACTCTTCTAATTGTTTTTCTATTTTTATTTTTCAGACTGAAAGACGTAAATTGTTTTTAAAAAAATGGGTAATTTTAAAAATTAATTTTCTTTTTTCTTCCAGAAGATGACCCACAGACATTTAAGACAGCTTCATTTAAATTCCATCGACTTTTTAATCTTCCAGTAGACGATAAACTTGTAAATTATTATTCCTGCAGGTTAGTCTCAACTATATATTTATATTATAAATAAATAAATATCTATTTTTTAATCATTTTTTTCCAAATTAAATATTATGATTTTGATCAAATTTTTTTTAGTTATTGGAAATCACGATTACCGAGGCAAGGATGGCTTTATTTGTCAGTGAATCATATGTGTTTTTATGCTTATATATTGGCAAAAGAAACAAAATTAATAATCAGATGGGCGGATATTGTTGAGTTGGATAAAACAAATTCGCTTGTATTTCCAGATAGCATTCGAGTTGTAACACGAGATTCAAAAGAGGTAAGTGTAAAAAAAAGAGAAAAAAAATCGTTTTATGTATTAATTAATTTATTTATTTTAATCCATTTATTTTAAAACTTCTTAATTTTGTGTCATTTTTACCCCATGATTAGAGCTATATTACCCCAATTAAAAAGTTGTAATGTCTATGTCATTTTATCTCTATTTAAATAAACTTCTACTTCTTTGTGTTACTTTTACCCCAAACTAGTTTTATTTTTTCTAAATCTGATAAAAATCTAATATTTATTTAATTTCAACAACTATTTATCTAAAAATAGAAGTCTTATTTTTGTGTTACTTTTGCCCCACAAGAGTTTTATTTTTTCTCAATCTAATCAAAATAACATCTATTATTTTTATTTTGTCTACTTTTGTATTTTGTAATTTTTTTTTAGTATTTGTGTCTAATTATTTTTGTATCTTTTTACCCCATGCTTTTTTTTAATATACGTATATATCTTAAAGTTTGCCTATTTTGAACCAAAGCGTGTGACATATTGCCCCACATAATTAAAAAGAAATTATACTGAAGTATTTTTTTTCAGCATTATTTTTCAATGTTCCTTCATAAATCCGAAACTTATTCTCTAATGGAACAATTGACAAACATTGCAATGAAACGGTGAGAACTTTTCCAATATATATTTTTATAAAAATACAACAATTTTTTGAAATAATAATTTATTATATATTAATTAATAATTAATTACTTTAACAATCGTAATTTGTCGTCATTTCAGATTAATTGACGAAAAAAGTGGTTTCAATCAAGACAGAGAACTTCTAAATAAGTTAAGGTACTTGCAATTGAAAATTGGTTAAATAATTTTTAAAATACCAGTGCCGTATCTAGAAATTTAAAAAAAAACGGGGTGGGTGTAGTAATTTTATGATTTTTATAAAAAGAAAAAAAAATTTTTCATTGAAATATTATACTAACTCGTTGTGAGTCAAAAATTTTCAAAACTTAAAAAATTTAATTAATTAAATTAATTTTTTATTTATTTTAAATATAATTTTTAAGTTTCAAATTTCGGGACAGATGATCATATGTTTTAAAAATCATTAGTTGGAATTTTTATTTTACACGCCTCGGTTCGACTTAAAGGCACAAAAAAAGTCGATTTATATTCCAAAAAAAGTCAAGAAAGTCGATTTTTTTTATTTTAACAAAAAAATTTTACAGATCTTTAAATAACTTTTTTTTTTAAATAATAATAATTTTGGAAGGATTAAAGTTGAAATTTTTAGAAATAATTGAATTTCAAAATATATTGTTAATTTTTAAACAATATTAAAATTTTATAGAACTAAAAATAATTTATCAAATAATTTTAGATAACATTTTTTAAAAGTAATTACTTTCAAAGATTTACAATTGAGATTTTTGAAATTAATTGAACTTCAAGTGATTTTTAATTAAAAATTTTTGATGATTTATTTATTTATTTATTTGATACAAACGGACAATAACAACTTTGCCCAATCGTACAAAGTACTAATGAACATAAAAGGAAATAACAATAATCAATTGGCCGCATTAATATTATTGACGTCGTTATTGATTTCACTAAAAAATTTATTACAAATTGCGGACAAAAATACAATATTTTGAAAACCATTTTTAATTGAAAAATTGTTTCAAATAGTTAAATTTTCGAAGAATATTATAAAAATAGTTAAAAATAATTCAGAGTTATAATTGAAATTATTAAATTTCAAAAAATTTTCGATGGAAAAGTTTAGAAATAATAAAAGTTTAGAAGCTTTTAAATTCAAATTTAAAAAAAAAATGAATTTTAATTGAAATTTTGGTTAATAATTTAATTTTAGTTGATTTTTGTTTAAAAATTTTGATAATAATTAATTTTGAATTGAAATTTTGTATAATTGAATTTTAATTAATTTTAAATTGAAAATTTGAAAAATAATTGAATTTTAGTTTGCTTTTGAATTGAAATTTTGAAAATAATTGAATTTTAATTGATTTTGAATTGAAATTTTGTGTAATAATTGAATTTTAGTTGATTGTGAATTAAAATTTTTGGAAAATAATCGAATTTTAAATGAAATTTTGGATATTAATTTAATTTTAGTTGATTTTTGATTGAAAATTTTGATAATAATTAATTTTGAATTGGAATTTTAAGAATAATTGAATTTTAATTGATTTTGAATTGAAATTTTGGGTAATAATTGAATTTGAGTTGCTTTGAATTGAAATTTTGGAAAATAATTGAATTTGAATTGAAATTTTGGATAATAATTGAATTTTAATTGATTTTGAATTGAAATTTTGGGTAATAATTGAATTTGAGTTGCTTTGAATTGAAATTTTGGAAAATAATTGAATTTGAATTGAAATTTTGGATAATAATTGAATTTTAATTGATTTTGAATTGAAATTTTGTGTAATAATTGAATTTTAGTTGATTTTGAATTAAAATTTTGGAAAATAATCGAAATTTAATTGAAATTTTGGATAATATTTTAATTTTAGTTGATTTTTGATTGAAAATTTTGATAATTAATTTTAAATTGAAATTTTTGAGAATAATTGAATTTTAGTTTGCTTTTGAATTGAAAATTTTGAAAATAATTGAATTTTATTTGATTTTGAATTAAAAATTTTTGGTAACTTTATTTTATATATTTTTTTAAATTATAAACAATTGATAAATTTCATAAAAATTTTAATTGAAAAATAATTTGATATAATTGAATTTGTGATGAATTTCATTAAAATTATTAAAAATAATTAATTTATTGAAGAATTTTAGTTAAAAATTTATTAAATAATTGAAATAAAGAAGATCTGAAGAAGATTTGCATTTTATATTAAAAAAAAATATTTTATTTAAAAATTTGTTTAAAAAATGTAAAAAAAAGTCGGAAATATTCGTAAAAATCGTATAATCTGAGGCCTGATTTTATGAAATTTAATTTTTCATAATTATTTTTGAGCCGAATTTGTATTTTTTCGAATTAGAGTTTTGCAGAATTTTCATTAAAACGATTTTCTACTAATTCGAACAAATACAAATTCGGCTCAAAAATAATTATGACAAATGAAATTCCATAAAATAAAAATTCTAACTAATGATTTTTAGAACATATTCATGCATCCCAAAATTTCAATAATGTTAAATAACTTTTTTTTTTACTTCTACTTTTTTACATTCTCATCATAATTAGAAGATATAATTTCCTATTTATCCAACGGTTGAAGATAATAAAATATTAATAAATAAAAGTTTCTAAAAGTAATTTTTATTTTTTGAGCAGCAAAAATGTGCCTAAAAAGCCATCATTTCTAAAGAGGGACCTAGACGCAAGGGCCCATTCGGAGGCCTATAGATTGCAATTTCGATTGCCAGGAAACGAAAAATTAGATGGTTGTGTGGATGCAACTTTATGGACACCCTACAACAAGAGACACATCTGGGGCAAAATATTTCTATCACAGAATTATCTTTGCTTCGAAAGTAGAGTGAGTTTTTGTTTTTAAATATAATTTACTGATTTCTTATCATTAATCAATATATTTTAAAATTCATCATATTTTTTCTTTTGAAAATTACAATTGTCTTTCGAAATTTTCATTGATCAATACTCTAAATTTATTAATAATACTTTAAATTAGTTAATTCAGATCTCGGATTATACGACTTTTTCGATTATTTACGACTTTTTTTTACTTATTTTAATAAAATGCGACTTTTTCGACTTTTTTTTACATTTAAAAAATTTTTTTTAAAAATAAAATACGTTTTTTTTGGTATAAAATGCAGATCTTTTTCAGATCTTCTTTATTTCAATTATTTAACAAATTTTTAACTAAAACTCTTCACTAAATTAATTATTTTTAATAATTTTAATGAAATTCATCACAAATTCAATAAATTCAAATAAAATTACCAAAGATTTTTAATTCAAAGTCACAAATCAATTCAAAATCAAATAAAATTCAATTATTCTCCAAATTTTCAATTCAAAATCAACTAAAATTCAATTATTCTCAAAAATTTCAATTCAAAATTAATTATTATGAAAATTTTCAATAAAAAATCAACTGAAATTGTATTATTGTCTAAAATTTCAATTGAAATTCAATTATTTTCAAAAATTTGAATTTAAAAGCTTCTAAAATTTTCCATCGAAAATTTTTTGAAATTTAATAATTTCAATTACAACTCTCCCGAAATTCAATTATTTTTGACTATTTTTATAATATTCCTTAAAAATTCAACTTTCTAAAACCATTTTGCAATTAAAAATGATTCTCAAATTGTTGTATTTTTGTCCGTAATTTGTAATAAATTTTTTAGTGAAATCATTAAACATTTTTAATTAAAAATCACTTGAAATTCAATTAATTTCAAAAATCTCAATTGTAAATCTTTGAAAATTCAATTACATTTAAAAAATGTTATCTAAAATTGTTTGATAAATTATTTTTAGTTCTATAAAATTTAATTATTGTCTGAAAATTAACAAAATCTTTTGAAATTCAATTATTTCTAAAAATTAAAAAAAATTAATAAAACCTTTAAAAATTATTATTATTTAAAAAATAATTTTATTTAAAAATCTGTAAAATATTTTTATTAAAATAAAAAAAATCGTCTTTTTCGACTTTTTTGAAATTTAAATCGATTAAAACGACTTTTTTTATGCCTTTAAGTCGTTCCGAGGCCTGTTAATTAATAAAATTCTAAATAATCTAAAGTATTAAGAAAATAGTTAATTAGCAAATAACAAATTTTTGCCCTCAACGAAAGGAAATTTTTTCAATTTCTTTTCATATTTAGGTAAAACGTGAAGTGAGTTTGGTAATTCCATTGAGAGATGTGAAACGAACGGAAACAGCAGACAATCAATCATCAAATGCTGCAGTTGATAAATCAATTCTTATCACTACAAATTCTAATTCATTTCTATTTTCACAAATTCTTGACCGGGACTTTGTTATGCAGAAAATTCGTGAATTACTGGGAAAGACGTGTCAGCCGTAAGTTTTTCATTTATTTTTATTATTAACAGTTATTAAATCATCTGTTATGTCCGAAAGAGACAAGAAAATTTAATTCCTAATAAACGAAATAAAATTTTATTTTTCTTAATTTTAAATTAATAATTAATTCTTCAATTTCGATTACTAAATCTCATTGTCTGAAAAATTTGCTAAATAAAAAAGTGTATTTATCGCAAGTGTCTTTTTATTTAAAAAAAAATTCTTTAATTTAATCCTTAAAAGCCTTGTAAAATTTTATTTCAATGACTTTGTTATTTAATTTCATGTTACAATAAAAATTCAGAGTTTCCGCGGTGCTTGTGAGGCCAACAACGTCAAGTGGCTCTACAGTGACGATTGAAGAGATGCCAGTGGAAATTTGGAGTTGTCAACCACCGTTGATGACTCTATTTAAGGCGCCATTAAGTGCAGAGGCAGCGATTAAACAACAGGCAAAGGAAAAACAATGGGAACTTCATTTCGCTGAATATGGCAGAGGAGTCACTCTATATCGCACCGTGGAAACGGCAAAACTTGTCATTCAAGGTGTACCACAAGCTCTTCGTGGCGAAGTTTGGCTAACATTCTCCGGTGCAATCAATGAAATGGCGATGAATCCAGGTCTCTATAAATCACTCGTTGATCAATCATTGGGAAAATCATGTCAAGCCAATGATGAGATTGAACGTGATCTGCATAGATCACTACCTGAACATCCGGCATTTCAATCGGACACTGGAATCAGCGCTTTACGACGTGTACTCTCTGCGTACGCCTGGAGGAATCCACAAATTGGTAATTATTATTTTTATTTTGAATTTAATTTGTTTCATTTGTTGTTTGTGCTAAATTTACATAGATTTTGATACTTGAATCGGTTGAATAGTATTTACGCTGCTTACTTACAATTTCTATTGTAATTGCATTTCATTCTGTTTTCTTTTTCGTGTACAGGATATTGCCAGGCTATGAACATTGTAGCGTCGGTACTTTTAATTTATTGCCCAGAAGAAGCGGCATTCTGGCAATTGTGTATTGTTTGCGAATCACTATTACCCGATTACTATGATCGAAGAGTTGTGGGCGCTCTCGTTGATCAGGGCCTTCTCGAGGAACTTGCCGCTGAATATCTACCAACGTTGCACGCTCGACTCCAAGAATTGGGACTTATACGCGTTATTTCCTTATCTTGGTTCCTGACAATTTTCCTCAGCGTTATGCCGACAAGTAGCGCAGTGAATATTATGGATTGCTTCTTTTATGATGGAGCGAAAGTGATTTTCCAGGTTAGTTTAAAAAAAAAAACGTAAAGTTTCGTTTTTTTAGAATGCTTTTATTGGAAATTGGTTTTTTCGGTGCATCATAAAACCTTTTTTGAATCTTCATGAAACTTTATAGAAACTTTAGTAAAATTTTTAGAAATTTCATAATACTTTCTAGAAATTTCATTAAAACTTTTAAAAAAACTTCATAGAACTTTCAAGATAATTTATAAAAATTTTACAGAAATAGATGGAAATTTATTGAACTTTCTAAAAATTTATAGAATTTTCTAGAATTACATAAAATTTTCAAGAAATTTATAAGAATTTTCCACAAAATTAGTAGAATTTTCTAGAAAAGCTATAGAAATTTATAGAAATTTAAAGAATTTTCTACAAAATTAATAAAAGGTTGTAGAAAATTTATAGAACTTTCTAGAAATTTATAGAATTTTCTAAAAACTTATAGAATTTTGTAGAAATTAATAGAATTTAAAGAATTTTCTACAAAATTAATAGAAGTTTGTAGAAATTTATAGAATATATAGAATTTTCTAGAAAATTTATAGAACTTTGTAGAAATTTATCGAACTCACTAGAAATTTTATATATTTATTTATTTATTGAAATTATACGGGTAAAGCACATTCGTACAATATACTATAGAGATACATTGAATGTGGTTTGTATATTAATTCGCAGCGTTGTTGTTAAGGTCATTGAAAATCAAAATTCGCCATTAATAAAATAATAATAATAATTTTATACAACTTTCTAGAAAATTTTTAGAACTATCTAGAAATTTATAGAATTTTCTAGAATTAGATAAAATTTTCAAGAAATTTATAGAAATTTATAGAAATTTATAGAATTTTGTAGAAATTAATAGAATATATAGAATTTTTTAGGAAATTTATAGAACTTTGTAGAAATTTAAAGAATTCTCTAGAAATTTTACAAAACTTTCTAAAAAATTTATAGAATTTTATAGAAATTTAATGAATTTTCTATAAAATTAAATAAAGTTTGTAAAAAATTTATAGAACTTTATAGAAATTTTGTAGAATTTTCTAAAAATTTATAGAATTTTGTAGAAATTTATAGAATATATATAATTTTCTAGAAAATTTATAGAACTTTCTAGAAATTTATAGAAATTTCTACAAAATCATAGAATTTTCTAGAATTACATTAAATTTTAAACTTTGTAGAATTTTATAGAGGTCTCTAGAAATTTTATAGAACTTTCTAGAAATTTTGTAGAATTTTCTAAAAATTTATTGAATTTTGTAGAAATTTTATAGAACTTTTTAGAAAATTTATAGAAATTTCTACAAAATTATAGAATTTTCTAGAATTACATTTAATTTTCAAAAAATTTATAGAATTTTCCACAAAATTAATAGAACTTTCTAGAAAATCTATAGAAATCTGTAGAAATTTAAAGAATTTTCTACAAAATTAATAAAGGGCTGTAGAAAATTTATAGAACTTTCTAGAAATTTATAGAATTTTCTAAAGATTTATAGAACTTTGTAGAAATTATAGAACTTTATAGAAATTTAAATAATTTTCTATAAAATTAATAAAAGTTTGTAAAAAATTTATAGAACTTTCTAGAAATTTTGTAGAATTTTCTAAAAATTTATAGAATTTTGTAGAAATTTTATAGAAATTTCTACAAAATTAATAGAAATTTGTAGAAAAGTTATAGAACTTTCTAGAGTTTTGTAGAACTTTATAGAAATTAATAGAATTTATAGAATATATAGAATTTTCTAGAAAATTTATAGATCTATCTAGAAATTTATAGAATTTTTTAAAAATTTATAGAACTTTCTAGAAATTTTATGAAACTTTCTAAAAAATTTATAGAATTTTATAGAAACAGTTATTAATTCAAATTCAATCAAAAAGATCATGAGTGTTTCGAGTATTTTTTGAAATTGATTTTTTTTATGATTAAAAGAAATTAATTTGTAAAAGCATTCAAAATTGAAAGAATTCATCCATTGTAAAATTTCAACTTTTGATTGTTTTTACAAATTAATTTCTTTTGAACATAAAAAAAACAATTTCAAAAAATACTCAGAACAGTCATGATCTTTTTGATTGGATTTGAATTAAAAACTGTTTGAAATGATATAATAATTTGTTAAACATAAATTCAATTTTTGAAAAAATTAAATTTTTTATATTATTTTTTTTTTTTTCTCTTAGAGAAATATTTAAAGAATACGTCTATATATAAGAGGGTAATAGGGATAGAAAGATGGAAATTGAATTGTTCTTTTTTCAATAAGTAAAAATAATTCACCTTTTCTCTATTCACTTATAGATCGCGTTAATGGTTCTCGAGTGGAATCAGGAGAAATTACTCAATTGTCGTGATGACGGTGAAGCAATGCAATTACTAACCGATTATTTAGGAGGAGTATTCAACGATGAAGGACCAGTATTACCAAAACCAGTGGACAGCGGCACTCCAAATCGGGTACGAATATTATTTATTGAAAATAAATTCTTTCAAAAAACTAGAGAGAAAATTTTACTCTTAAACGCAAATTTAAACAAATTTTAATGATAAAATTCATTATTCACAGAGTATTTCCGTACAGACGCTAATTTTTGAAGCCTATTCGCGATATGGTTCGTTGACAATAGGTGGTATCGAGAGATTACGTTTAAAACATAGATTAAAAGTTGTTCAAAGTCTAGAGGATGGGATTGAGAAGAATGTGATTAGAAGTGTAATCAATGATAAATATATGACACTTGAGGAACTTCAGGAATTATTGTCATTAGTGAGAGAGGAATTGATGAGCCAACGAAAAACTGAACCCGATCGTTATGATCCAACGCAACCGCCCTATGAGGCTTATAAAATTGATTACGAACTTTTTAGAATATTATTTGGTGGCCTATCGCCATGGGGCAAATGTTCGCAGGCTGAATCACTCTCCGCAAGATTGTTTCGAGTAAGAAAGATTGTTTTCAATTTTTTTTTTTTTTTTTTTTTTTTTAAATTAGAAAACCAAAAAATGTTGCAAAAAATTCGAAAATTTGATTATTTTAATTCAATATTGTAATTTTTCAGCTGATGGATCGTAATCGCGATGGACAGTTAAATTTTCGTGAAGTAGTGCAAGCAATTGGACTCACTGCAACCGCTGATCAAACTCAACGATTAAAATTGCTTTATACTCTTCATTTGCCGCCACTATTGTCGCCAGTAGATTTTGAATCGCCGACACATTCGTCAGGTAGAAATTGAAAAAAAAAATTCACTTTCAAAATAATTAAATTAGATTAATTAGTCTTCAAATATTTTCGTTTATTTTCTTTGTTTATTTATTTTATTATTTTAATTTTTCGTTGAAGATGGCGCAGAAGTTGCAGCGGAGGCAACGGATTTTTTCGATAGTATGGAAAAAAGTGCCGCGGCATCTTTGGAACTTCCGCTAACAATTGCTGATGAATTGGCATCCAGTGAATTGTCACGATCGACAAGTTGCAATAGTCAAGCCGATCAATCGTGGGAGGTGCAAAGTATGGGCAGTTTTCGTTCAATGATCGCGTCAAAAGATGGTTTTCTCGATTTGAAAACAGTGCCAAAAATGTCGCAACGACATTTTATTGCAATGATGAAGACATTATATGAAATGTTTCACGCTCAACCCGATGAAGCCGATACAATTTGCCTCGCTAGAATTGGTAAGAGTTTTGAAAGAATTTTATTTTTTCCTGTAGAATTTATATTTTTTTAGATATTATTTTTTTTTTTTTAATTATAATTGTATTTTAAAATACTGAAAAAGTTACATCTTATTAAAATAAGTTGAAGTTTTGAAAAAAATAGTCATTCGAGGCTTATGATATTACAAATGCTTCCTTCATGAGTTGAAATAAAAGAAAAATTTTAATTTTTTATAAATTACTTTGCAGAAGCCTTATTACTTCAACTCGGCGATGTTGGCAAAAAATTCCAATTGGATCGAGAAGAATCCGATGACAGTTTACTTGTAACTACTTCAATTGCCGCTCAATCGTCATCGCCAATCGCAAGGGTAAATTACTTACATTAAATTAGTAAAATTATTAAAAAAAAAGAAAATCTAAAAAATGTTAAGATTAACGAGAAATTAGAACTTAAAAAGATACAAAAAGCTTCCTCGGGAGGAGAGAAAGCAAAAAAAAAATTTAAGAATCTAATTTTTTTACAGTAAAAAAAATGGAATATATTTTTTTTTCAGTCGCCCGACAGCAATGGAAATCCCTCATGCCTTCCATCGTCAATGGATCCCGAATGGTCTATCACTGTGGAACAATTTTTAGCATCCGCATTAACTGGACAGTCGATTGTTGATTTTTTCAGTAAACGTGTCAATTTAATTGACGCAATACAAGTTCTTCGTAATCGTCGTTTTAACAGCGTTCATTCACTATCCGAGACATTTAACGTATGACGTTCGTTGCGCGGTGGTGACGATAATAATGAACCGTTTGAATGCACAGTTCATAAGACTGGAGATTAAAAAAAAAAAAGTAAAACAAATTTCTTTTTTACCTTTTAAAAAATATTACAAAAACTAAAAGAAAAAAATAATATCAATTTACCAACAAAAAAGGATTATTGGCAAACAAAAAAAAGAGAAAAATCCTTTTTCTTGTTTTATATATATAAAAAAAGTAAGGCCTCGATAAAAGAAAATTGTAAATTGGCTAATTCATTTCCAAAATTTTTCTTTCTTTTATGTTCTTTTTTTGTTGATTTTTCACTGAAAAAAAAGTTTATTTTTAACACTCAATTTTAATGTATGGAACAATTTTTTTTTTTATCTATTTTTAAAGAATATTTTTTATTAACTTCTCATTTAAATAGAAATAATTTTTAATTCACATTTTTTTTTATAAATTTTTCTTTTTTTCATTATTAAAATTGAAATTTTTTTTCTTTACTATATGTAAAACATTAATTTTACAATTATAATTTTTCTCTACTCTTAATTATACACAATTTTAGTTTTTTTTCCCCTTGGGGGAAAAAAATAGTTGTTTTATTTTTATGAATTATTATGCAAAAAAGTTAAAAATTTATTTTGAAAATATTTTTCTGATAATTGTTCGTTTTAAGCGACAATATTTATAGTGTTTTCTTATTGAAACTCTATTTTATATAGATCAATTTTTATTTTTCTAAGAGTTGCGCGTATTTCTATATATATATATATATATATATATTATTGATATAAATACTTCCCGTGCAAAAACATTGAAAAAAATTGTATTATACTTGTATATATAAAAAAAAATCATTAAATTCCTAAACGTTGTTATTGTATTAATACTTAAAAAAAATATACAAATAAAAGCATAAAAAAATAGAGGTTTATTTTCTGGATTTCTGTTTACTAATTTATATTTTTTTTACCAAGAAAAGAATTTTTTAAATAATTTCTCCAAAATAAAAATTACCCTTAGTAGGAATTTAATTCTAATGCAAATTCCATTAAACAAATTTCGTTAAATAATTATAATTTGTAAAGAAGCGAATAATAACCATTATTTCATGAACAAAATATAATTCATTTAAAAAATTTTTTAAATAAGAGAATTTTTTTTTTTAGAAATCTGTCCTACTCAATTAAAATTTTTAAAATTAATCTTAATTCGATTCCAGCCCTCGGATCGACTTAAAGGCACAAAAAAAGTCGTTTTAGTCGATTTATATTCCAAAAAAAGTCGAAAAAGTCAATTTTTTTTATTTTATCAAAAATATTTTAGATTTAAAAAAAAAAAAATTTTTTTAAATAATACTTTTGGAAGGGTTTAAAGTTGAAAGTTTTAGAAATAATTGAATTTTAAAAGATTTTGTTAATTTTCAGACAATAATTAAATTTTACAAAACTAAAAATAGTTTATCAAATAATTTCAGATAACATTTTTTAAATGTAATTGAATTTTCAAAAATTTACAATTGAGATTTTTAAAATTAATTGAACTTCAAGTGATTTTTAATTAACAATTTTTGATGATTTCACTAAAAAATTTATTAGAAATTGCAGACAAAAATACAATAATTTGAAAACCATTTTTAATTGAAAAATGGTTTCAGATAGTTGAATTTTCAAAGAATATTATAAAAATAGTTTTAATCAAGTACAGGATGACAGAAATTACCACCCATAAGTCAACCACAATCACAAAAAAATTTTTTTAAAAATTCAATTTTTCTTAGACAGACTATTTTATTGCAATGTCTTGCACAAAATACACCTAAAAGTGTAGAAAAAAATTGACAGCCCAATACAAGTAAAAGGAACCCTTATGGTTTCACTCATGTCCGTCCACAAATAACTGTCCCCCCTCTAAAATCTGTCCATTTTAACCGATTTGGCTCAAACTTGATATACATACGTATTTTCGCGAGTAGATTAAAGGAATATTATAGCGAACCCGATTGGAATTAAATTTAATATAGTTATAGTTCAAAAACTCGAAATTTCGGGGAAAAAAATGTCCCCCTCTTAACTTTTACAGATTTGGAGATAAAAAGATGAAACTTGGTACACATATTTCATTTCACGTGTTTTAATGAAAAATATAGCTAACCTTTTTCAAATTGACTTATATATGGCTTCGCAACAAAAACTCAAAAATCCTGAAAAAGGCTCAAAATTCTTTTTTATCTTAACTTCAATAATTTTTTAGCCAACCATCTCAAACTTTGTATATCTACCTATATTACAAAAAGATATCGCCGCCAACGCCGCCGCCGCTGTTCCAAGACTCTGAATATAGCCGCAAGTCACGAGAAGGAGGATAGGAGAGAAGGGAGGGGGACTTGCGGCTATATTCAGAGTCTTGAAACGATCTTAACCTTTAAATTTAGGGTGGGAGAGGGGAAGAGAGGAGGGGGGATAGGGGTTGGGGCGCGAAGCCGCTGCCGCCGCTATTCCAAGACTCTGAATATAGCCGCAAGTCAAGAGAAGGGGAGTAGAAGAAAAGGGAGGGGGGACTTACGGCTATATTCAGAGTCTTGAAACGATCTTATCCTTTAAATTTGGGGTGGGGGGAGGGCAAAGGAGGGGAAGAGAGGAGGGGGGATGGGGGTTGGCGCGCGAAGCGCGCAGGGGGCGTAGCCCCCTAGTATACATATATATATATGTATATATTTACAAGCGAATTGAAAAAAATTATAGGTAAATTATTTTTTTTAATACACACTGGAACCTCCGAACTTTAGACTGCTCGGTCATGGTGTCTAAAGTTCGGAGTGGACACCTTGACGCCTGAAAATATAAACACTTAGGGCCGTATGGTTCATGAAAGCTAAGTGGCGCTCGATACGTATTTAAAAATTGATATTTTTTAGCACATAATTAATGTATTTTTACATGATTATTTTTTAAATAAATAAGTTAAATGTACTTTCGATTTCTATTCATTTTCAAAATTTAATACAAAAAAACAAGGCCACAAAACAGAACACTTTACATCGACGCTACTGCTTCTGACTTAAAGTCCGCCTTTACTTTCCTCCGACATCTCTCCCTGCCTCGCCCATACTTGATGTCAACACAGTCTAAACTTCATAAAGTTTTTTTTTGAAATTTTCGTGATATGCATTTGGAATTTGTTTTGTGTGCTGAACACTATCACGTGTTCCAAAATTGTGTATCACGCCAGGATATTGAAAAAAGTGGGAGTAAACACACAAAAAAAAACCTAATCATGTTCAGCACACAAAAATACATTGGAAACCACTGTGATATTTAAAGCAACCTGGTACACCTGTGTTACTAACCCTGGAAACTCCCGAGAGACAAGTTTCAAAGAAACCTATCAATTTTTTGAAACGCAAACTTAAAACAAGGATATTTCATACAAAAATTTATACTTTTAAAAGTTTTAAATTGCAAATTGTTCAGGGAGATATGACCTTTCAAATGCATATCACAAAAAACTTCAAACAAAAAATTCTGGGTACCGCGTTATAAAAAATCAAAAAGAATCCTAAAAAAGGCATTTTTTTAATTGTCAAGATCAAATTTCTCAAACACGTCAAAAACGTTAAAAAACCTGTAAAAATCACTATATGCGATCCCAGAAATAAAAATGCTGTTGCACTGTGTTATTTAAAACAATTCACTTATTTCTTTCACCCAAATATTTGATTATTTGATACAAATAAAAATTATTTAATACTAATAAATTATTTTATTAAAACATATAAAAAATATATCGATGAAATAAATATTAATTTGAAACCAAAATAGGGAGTTATTTAAAACTATTAATTTATTTCACACAAATATTTTACCCTTTTTTAAAAAATATAAAAACCTACGCCGAGTTTTGAGTAGGTTAATAATAATTCTAGAGTTCTATAAATTTTATTTCAATAGTTCTGTAGATTAACACAAAAAACATGAAATTGTAAAAATAAAGTGCTAACTTTACCGAGCACTATAATTAAAAAAAAAGAGTTCTGACATATTTTTCCGATAAAAAATACAGAGTTATAGAGTTCTTTTATTAAAAAAATAGTTGTAGAACTCTTAATGGAAATGCCATAACTCTAATTAGAACTCATAAAAAGTTTGATTTTTGATCAAACAATTTTTAAAAATTTCAAAGTTCAGTACATTTCTTGATTTTTAATTTACAGTGGAATTTCATAAAGATAAGTTGTAGAATTTTTAATGAAGATGTTGGAAATTTGGTTAATTTCGTTAAAATTTAAAAAAATTTTGAGGAACTATTTTTTAAAAGGAAAACTCTAGAACTCTTTTTTTATCAAAATTCTTTTCTCCAAAAATTACAGTGCACTGTAAGATAGTACCTTAGCACAGCATGCGTTTTGGTGTCAATCTTTAAAACTTTTGAAATAAAAGTAATAGAACTCTAGAACTATTATTAACTTACTCAGAACCTGACAAAGATTTTTACATTTTTTTGAGAAGGTAGTGCCAACTTTACATGACTGATTTCAGTAATTTGTATTTGATACAAAATAATTATTTTTTTGATACGATAAAATAAAATATTTAGGTCGAGTAAATATTTATTTAGTTCAAATAATTTTTTTGTTAAGCACAGTCTTAAAAGAGTCATAAAAGTAGAAAGGGGCGTTCACAAATAATGTCACGCATTGACGAAAAGGGGGATCTTCACCGAACGTGACACCATATATTTATTCAATAAGAAAATATAGTAAAATAGCGTGACAGGGAGGGGGTAGGGGTAAAAAATCTAAAAAAATTGCGTGACATCATTTGTCAACGCTTTAAAAATAAAATTTCTTCATGCAAAGTGTGAGAAAAATTTTATGGGTATATGAGAAACTTACTTCCTTTAAATGGAACCAACAGCCATGTCTATTACAATTAAGGAAAACTTTATTGCAGTTTCATAATATGCCATAGCGTCCTTTAAATTAAATTGTAAATTTGGACACAATTCAATTATTTTAATCATAACTGCCTTATAAAGACTAGTCGTACGCCTTGTCATGAGAACGAAAATGGCACCAACACTCTAAATAATATTTTCAATGCATTACAGCAATTTTCAAAGAAAATGAAATTTTTTGATAATATTGTTTTATAAACATGTTATAAATAAAATATATTAATATAAAGTACTTCAAAATTGTTAGAAAGAATGACGTCGTTATTTTGATTTTCTATCAATTTCAAAGTATGTTATAATAATGATGTTACAAAGCGGAAAATTAATTAATGTAAAATTATAAATTTTGAGGTTAGAGGAGGCACCAAGCTGCCAGAATTTAAAGTTAATCGAAAGTGTATAGTAAAAGAAACTCTAACTCTGTTTATTTATGTGGGATCGTTTATCTTTTTCAACGTTCCGCCAAACCACCATGTAAAAAAAATTGAAACTATTAGTGAAGGAGGAGAAGAAGGCAAGAGAGAGAAAAAAAACTCTTAAGAGAAATAGATTATAATAGATCATTTATTATAAATCAAGTTTTAATAATAGTACAGTCAAATAAATTGGAAACGATACATGTTTTTATTTACTTTAGGTACTACGCTTAATATTACCGATGTTCGACGTTTACACACTAGTTTTACTATGTCGAAAGCGGGCGAAATAGAAAATAGCGCTCTCGTGCTGTGGGTTCACCAAGTTGGATTGGCGCAGGTACCTCGGGCACAAGCTGGCCAGTTATGCAACGGGAATCTCAATTAAT